ACGCGGAGTGGTTTCGGTTTCGTTTTCTCTGGGGTGCTCACTGCCTACCTTCGGTACCGGCCGCGAGGCGGCGCGCCAGTCGCGTCGCACGGAGTGTATAGAACAAGAGGACAAAAAGGGACTGACAGACACGAAGCACTGAACTCAGCTTGAAGCCTCATGTCAAAATTATAAAGATAATGATAAATCAAATGTCTCCCAACAAAAAGAAAAGGGGCGACATAAATTTCAAGAAGATTGTCGGCCACTTTGGCGTTCCCTCAGAGCATCAGTGAAGCTAACTAGCTTATGCCTCAAAATAAATAAAACAGGAGAGCATGCGCACAAAGAGGCATGCACACAAACATATGGAATGCGCCACATCGGTAGTATAAAATATCAACATGTGGGCGATCGTACGGGTGTAGCATTATAGCCCCAAGTGTAGAATCCGTGTGCACGCTTCAACCAGCATTGTTCCATGTTTTAACCTAATATCTTGAGGGTCTACAAATGACGGCATGATTACGTTGCACACGCTCGTGAGCACACTAACTGTCACTTAATTAAAAGCTGAATGCTCCGCCGTCACGGTGAGGACCAGGCCACATGATCTGAGAATTCGTGTCATGGGCTTTTGATAAAACTAGCCTTTTGAAGGCAGGGCAAAAGGGAAAAGTGCGGGTGTCAGTCGTGGGGCATTTGATATCGGCTGCTTTCGTGCACCACCCGATCGTACATAGGGCATGAACTTTCTGTAAAGCGGCCTCTTTTAGGGAACTTGGCAGTCCACTGTGATGAGTGTTCGTATGATCCTTTGCTGGATAAAACACAAATTCCGGGCAAGCAGGAACAGAAAACAGAGGGGAAAATTTTGGAGGTGTTCAAATTTAGCGTAAAGAAAGATGATAGTTGCACCAGTGCGTCGTCACTCGTTTCATCAAATAAGAAATTCAGATTCATTTGGCTTGAGGTATAATAAAGTGTGTATCAGTGGCGTAGGCAGAACATTTTTTCAGGGTGTGTTTTTTTTTTTTTGTTTTGTTTAAGCTGTTTGAAAGACACACACAAAAAAAAGAGAGGAAACGAAACTGCCCAAACACAATATTGTTTACTATTTTCCTCTTTCTTAGACGACAAAAGTCCAACCTTCTTTTCCACATCTCGTTCGTCCAATATTTAAAACATGGAAATTTAATGTTAAATGACGAAAGAACGCAGTCATTAAATATTATAATTGACTTTGAGTAAAAAAGTCCAGACAGGCTCACAAAAAAATTACGGTGCGTGCACTTCAATGCGGAACACTCGAGTATCCAATGACTGAAAACTGCGGAAAAGTGCCAGAGAATAGCGAAGTTTAGAATACGATTAAACATAAAAACTGCAATGCGCACTGGGGCAATGAGCTAGTGAAGCGTCACGCTCAATGTTCCTGCGCGGATCACATATTTAACAAATTATCGTTTTATAGTCATGTTTTAAATTATTTCTTTTCTTCGTTGTCGTTTTGCGAGAAAGTGGAAGAGAAAAATTCCAGTTTCTATCATTTTGTGGGGTCTAAACATTTAGTGGAAGCCGCCGTCGGTTGATAGAAAGAAGCGAGAGTACCCTTTCGGTTGCTGATTTGCATATTCCGGTTAAGCTCAGACTAGAAGCTCCGCTTTAAGCGCGAGCTTTCTGCCCTTCCAAAAACAAGTGTGATCGCGCAGGCACGCGCAACCACTGCACTGCCGAAGCCAGCGAGCTCGCGTTGAAGGCGAAGCGTCTGGTCTCAGCTTAGAACGGAGTAGCAAGCGCCTCTGGGACGTTGAAGCTCTCAGGTGCTTCAACGTCCCAGTCTTCGGAGTCTCGAAAGCAAATGTTCCGCTTCAGCACTGCTAACGAGCATGGAGGCCAGGATTTGCAGCAGGCGGCTTACATTAGGATACAAGGTCTCTGGGCAAATGCAAGTTGCCTGTACCGCTGAGACGCGCTAAGCGGTGCGGTCCCTCCACATTTGTGTCAAAACCAGTACTTCCCCAGGAAGTTCATCTAACAAAACGAATGCTCCACACGGGCTGGAGATTGGTGACCGGCGTCGTTGGCCACAACATCGCTGTCGCCTAGGGCGGACAATGCTGCCTGACGTGAATCTGCTGGTTCTGTTGGAGACGTTGATGACTCGCTTGAAGTTGTAGGTCAATCATCATTCTTAAAAAAAAAAAGTGAAGAACTGCTTGGCTCTTGAACTCATTTTCGAAAGTCTATATACGTAGAGGAAGTTCCACGACACACGTGCTGAACGCAAGCACGTAAGCATTACCCACTTCAGCGATTAAAGCAGTCAACTAGGTACGCTTTCAAACCAAATGATTATGAGCATTCCAAAGTTGCTTCAACAGTGCATATGCTGCCGCTTTTCTCTCTTGCTTCTTTTATTTTTTACAATGATGGGGATTTTTTCAGTGTGATTTTTGCATTTTTGTTTGTGTATTATTGAAGCTAAATAAGTAGAAACGAGTAAACCCTAAAAAAAAACAAGACAAAAAAAAAAACAAAAAAAAAAACGCTGAGCTGTTAGTTATTTTGTCGTCCGGTTTTCTCCTGATTGTAGTGTTCGTAAAGTCAGAGTATTGCTATTTTGGAGTTTTGTTGCGCTGCCCTGCTTGTTGCGCTGCTCGTCGAGTCCTCGACACTCAAAGGGTAGGGGAACTTCAGTTAAGCCGCCTGCATTCCCCGAGGCGAGGCCAGCGTCCTTCGAGGTCAGGATTTCGCGGCTTTTGTGACGTCGGGAACAAAGCCATTCGCACCTGCGAGCCTGAAGAAAGGCTTTGGTTACTAACATGGCCAAGTTTGGAGAGAGCTGTTCGAAGAGCCGGAGCCGGAGATGTATTTTTCCCACAGTCCACGGACAGCGTCGTCTTCGTTTTGCTTCGGTATGTTGTGGGCACAGCCCCTCGCCGTAGTGGATTGTCGAAACGAAACACACACAAAACAATTATACTGACATTGGAAAGGGGGAAGGGGTAAAGAGGACAACCATGAAATTTCGAGAATTTTCCGACACTTGAACCCGGTCCCCTGGCTACGCCACTGGTATGCAAATATGTTCGCGTTTTCCAAATAAAAATTGAGTTGGCAGTAGCGCTCCTAGTTTGCACTACTACTTCTTTCAGCTCGGTTGTTTGTTTTCCTTGCGCTTCTAAGTATAGGTTTGTTGCAGCTGACTTAACTTCCGGCTAAACTGTAGGTCAAAACCAACACTGTCGTCTACTATCAGTGCCTTGGCGACATGTTGGAGGCAAAAAATGTTCTTCACCTGACATGAAGTGCAGTCCATAAACCCGTAGTTAGTGTACGAAGCTTTTCTGTCAAGATCATAGAGTCAACTATAATCATCTAAAGCGAAAAGTCCCATGGGTTTGGCCGCGACGGGAGGGCGATGCATAGACGCGGACATCGGCGGCCCCATTTGGCCGTTCCTATGAGCTCATATCGCTGGCGACGCATATGCACCAAGGAGCAGCAAAAAATCACCTGTAAATTCTGCACCTTTTTTTTGTTTTTTTGTTTTGAAGAAAAACATTTGAATTGCGCGTTGACAAAATTAAATAAAGGTAGGCTGTACCAACTCACTTATTAAAACATCCTTGCCCATCTTCTCTCCCCCCCCCCCCAAAAAAAAAAAAAGAGAAAAAAAGAAGCGGGTAGAGAAAAAGAAACCTTCCCCGCAAAAAGGAAAAACAAAAAAAGAAATCTGCGCCGAGCAGCGTCGAACATGCGCCGACTAGAGTTCCTGTATAGGCTCCCGTAGGTAGCTATACGGGAATTCTAGCGCCGACTAGGGTAACTGTATATGCTCCGCTTGCGGAGCAGAGTACCGCAATGGTGCCATTCTGGAGCCAAGCAGTGCGGGAAGCCACGGTCGGTTTTTGCAGGGGACGCGAAGGCGCAGACGCGAGGCAGCGTGCTGTGGCGTGCTGCGGCGCGCTGCGTAAGGAAAATAGTGCGGCGTGCGGCGACGAGCCGCGCAGGCGCCGTCATCGTTTTCCCGTCGTTTCCTGTTTCCCTCTCGATTGCCAAAAACGCACCCGCAGATCCTGCGGGTCGCGTGTGAAGTGAAGTCGTCAAGTCATTGCGGTAAACGACGCAGCGGCTGACGAAAACGCCGTCCCCTCGCTTTCGGACGAGAGCTCGCCGACTCGCCAAGAAGGCCGGATGCGCCGGTAGCGTATCGCGTATCCCTCCGCGAGAGCCGCAGACGCCAGCAACGCGATCGTCGTCCGTGTCGTCTGCTTCGCATACCTTGGAAACGGATGTCCTAAAACATCGCTCGCGTTTTAAAGAAACAGGATTGTATTGTACCCAGCTGACGCACATAATGTTCAATGACTTAGGAAGCGTTCGGTTCGTTCGAGTTTATTCTGGGATCTATATTTGGCGAACTCAAAGCGGAAAATATGTTCCTTCGAAACTCGGCGCTCTGGAAGGCCGCTTTCCCGCACGAAGGTCGGATCCAGTTCTGCCCACGTGACCACACATCCGCCAATACGGAGATGGCGGCAAAAGGAAAGGGAACGCGATACTCTGGCTCTGCAAGCAGAGCTTATACAGTTACTCTAGCGCCGACCCCATAGCGGCGCCATCTGTTGACAGCCCGTGATATCGCGAGGAGAAACTAACTCTCGGTACAGTTACTCTCGAGTTCGAGTGAGGGTTACGGGAGAGTATCATCGAAAGAAGCGGTGGCGAAAGAGTAACTTTGATGAAGAGAGAGTTAAAGTAGAGTAACTTAGGGTACTTACTCTCCTTTGACACCTTTTTTTTTTTTTAGAGTGTACCCATTACAAGGCCCGTGTGCTGAATTTCTTACGTCCTCCTTCTCGATCGAATGCGAGGCAACTGTCGAATACACCCGGTGTGTCAATGTTAGCCTGGAGTTTGTATTCAACCGGTGCTTCACTCAGTTGGGTCTCTTCCCCGATACCAGCTAACGTTTTTTTTTTTTGTTGTTGTTGTTTTTTTTTTCGCCTTTTCAGATGAGTTGTGCTACCAGTTGAACGATTCTGACTGCTCGCTGATTTTGACTGATCCTCCGTACGCATCCAAAGTACTGAAAGTAAAAGAGCGGCTGAACCTCAAGGTGAGCATTTCACGATATCTCTAGCTACAGGACGGCTGAATCTCTGTTGTGCAAGTTTGGTACTTGGGAGAAGTGTTAATATATACAGCAAGTCATATTTCATCAGCCTGGTTGTGAGGGTGGAAGATGACTGACCGGGGCGGCGTACGCTCCACGGCGTTTATTGGTGCGGTGACCAATGTTGCCCGCCGAGCCTGGCGGGCACAGGCGGGCGGACTGGAGGGGGAGCTACATACTTGTCACATAACCGAACAATATAGCACAGCCCAAGCAGCAGAAAAAGAGGTCGATGCTGGTTTTTAGAGCTCATAATTTTATGTCCATGTTGATTTTGCGAGAATGTCTCTAGCACCACCTCTGGCCTTGGTTTTGGCGTACTGCTCAAACAAGAATATATGCCACGATCGTCGCGCGCGAATATTCGTGTAAATTTAAAAAAAAAGTAAAAAATGACCTGCCTCGTTGGCCGAGCAACAATGGTATGTTTATCAGTCCTTGTGTTTATTTAAAAATACTGCGACCTCACATATCTTTGCAGGAGCGAAGAAAAAGAAAAGCATTGCGTACAACAGACATAAATGAATGAAACATACCCTGTGGTGAAAATCCAAAATATTGTACTAAATAATTGCACTAACACTACACTCCAAAAAAAAAAAAAAAAAGTTTGTGAGTGCACTTTCTTGCAGGGCACGAAGACAGACGATCACTGCGAAAAATAAAAGGATCTCCGGTGATTAACCAAGCTCAGAATACGATTAGATTCGAAAATGCGACCTGTGCGCAGGGGAGAAAGAGAAAGTGAAACCTCATGCTAGTTCCCTCCACACATCTCGTGTTTAGGGACTAATCGTGTTTCGAGCTCCGCCATTTGCTAGGATGCCTTTATATGTCTCCCTGATTGGCCATCGCTATTCCCTGCAAAAAAAAAAAATAATAAACTCGTTTATTTATTTATTTTGTTAGGGTGTGGAGCGTAGAGCAAGTCGTCTGCTTCTTGCGAAGGAGTTGTGGTGACGTCAGAACGACGCCGAGTTTTGATTGGCTTTGACTGGAAGGATAGTGGGTAGACATCATATGCACTGCTAGATGCCTTGAGGTAGTCCCGCTATTTCTTTTAATCAGCCAATAAGAGCTCGCAACATCGCCAACCTTTGTGTAAAAAGCAGACAAACTTTCGTTCCGCATGGTCGCCGATAGCCCGAGAAACGCCGCGCTAGGCCTATCATGACCAGACTTTTCTATTGGTGATTGGGTCTTTCGCGTCCTTATCAGCTGACGCCGCAACGTGATTGATTACCCCGTGATATTAAAATGCCCGCGGGACTCGCCACGCCCGGAGCCTTTCTTTACCTGTGTGCAAGCAATTCGAAATAAAGCGCCCTTCACACATATGTGACCGAGTAGGACCGAAAGAGACCAGACCAATTTTGAGAGGCCCGTTCAGGCACTTACGACCTCTTAAAGGGGCACTCAAGCGGTTTTTGGAGAAGCTACTTTTTGGTGCGATGGCGTTAAGGAAGTGTCATTGAATGAGTATCTTCGGTTTTAGAAGGCAGAACCGCCTGTTAATCACGCAGGAATAAAATACGTGCGGACTCTTTTCTGTACTTGCGAGGACCAATGAAATTATCGTATGTTTGAAAGTTTTGGCGGTCTTTGTAAAGTTTCGCTAAAGAAACAATTTTCGGTTCATTTAAATATGTTGTGCATGATAATTTCACAAGACGTAATATATTTCTAGTTTAGAATACGCGATACTGCAATTACCGTTTCACAAACAAGGGACTACGTTTTCTCCTTGGCTTCCTCCGCGGGGGGTGAATTTCCTGTTCCCCAGGGATGCGCGGAAGCGCACGTATCTCCGCGCGTTGCAGGCCGGTCGTGCCGGTCGCGGGCCGGCCGGCTCCTTCTATCCGCAAACATGGCGTCGGTGGTGATCCTCGGCGTGGACGGCGTGGTGAAAGCTCATCGTTCCACGTAAAAGCGCTACCCTTGACTGTGAATTTTCGTCGTGTGTCGCTATGATAACCCAGCTCGTACTAGAAGGGAAGATCCACCTACGCGTGCGGCGATGTCGTGGCGGCACTCTCAAGACAGCAGAAACGCCTGTGCCATCGTGTTTGTTTACTTCGACTACAGCGGTGCTTTCTTAGCATTCGTGTCCTCGAACATCGCCCAGATTTCTTATTTGGCGTGCTCAAGTTCGAGGTATTACTGGCGCGTACCGTATAAAGGATGCGAATTTTCACGCGTTTTTATCACCGGAGAAAAGTGATTAGTGTTAGCAATCCTGAACGCTCGCTTGTCTTTTATAATCGTAGAAAAGGCGTGTGGCGATATTTGCACTATTGCAATGTCGTGTATTAGAGTCGTGATTGTCCAAGACGGCGGACAGCATCTTTTTATTTTCTTTTTTTCATCCACTGTACCCTGCAAGCCCATAAAGAAAAATAATAATAAAGCTTTAGGCTATAGAATACTGTCTGTCTATATTCTGTTACTGCATTGAGTAGCAGTGCGTCCCCTTTTTAGAGGGGTCGCTGAAACAGTTGACGGTGGCGTATAGAAGCGGTCGCCGTGCTGACGACCCGCTGCGCTTGTTGTAGTGGTTGCAGGTGTGTGTACGCGCGGCGCAGAGCGGTCGTTCCGGTCGCTCCGGTTGCAACGGACGCAGTCGTAGGTACGCGCTCGCTGCACATGTCTGAACCAGCCTTCCCCACATCCTCCCGAGGCGAAAGTCAACGTGGCGACATCGTTTGACATCACGTACCAGAGGTAACGCTGCGATGTCAAACGTTGGTTTGGTTACGACTTGCCCCACCCGCTAATCGAAGAACGCCCGAAAAGGGCTGCGTTTCGTCGTCCTCGAACCCGAACATGACTCCGAAGCGCTGCTATCGTCCACATCGCACGTCGGAGTGGCGTCATAGGAAATCATCCCCAGGTCGGCTGTCCGTCGAAGAATTTCAACCTCTAACGGCGTCAGGTCCTCGAGCGTAGAGAACTCTGCGACTCCGCCATGATTGAAGCTCGAATGACAAAGAGGTTTGGCCGATGCGGCTACCTCGGGATCACTGCGCGACGGAACGTCGTCCAACGCCATTGGCCCGAGATCCTTTTCATAAACGTACGAGGACCAATGAGAGTGGTTTCGTTTTCGGATGGATCGAGGTTTGGTGGCCTTCAATTATATTTTTATTAAAGAAATAATCACCGCATGACTATACTTTTTGGTTTTTAGGGATACTTAAGGCGTCTAAATTCATCTGTCATCATCAAAACACGAACTCACAAACCACTTGAGTGCCCCTTTAAGCGCCGCAGCAGGTCCTAAGACGTCGCAAGAGGCTAAAAAACCGGTCTGGTCTCTCTCGGTCTTACTCGGTTGCATATCTGTGAACGGCACTTTAGAAATGGCTGCCTTGGAACATCTTAATATCTCTTACAACGAGAGGACACACTGGCGCCATGTATTGGGTACCAGTGAAATCTTGGCGGCCTGGCATATTTCCTATTTTTCTCACTCATTATCCTTTCTTTCTTGACTCGAAAAACTTTTATCAACGTTATAAATGAACCTTTCTCACAGGTATTACGCACGTTTGACCTCAGAAATCCCGCAAAACCTCTGCACTTGTGAAATGCATTTCCAGGGTCACCGCATAGATGGCGCCAGCGTGGCAGTGTGTTCTCTCGTCCCAATAAATTTTAAAAGGTTTCAACAGGCCTTGTCTCTCTCGGTCGTACTCGGTTGCAAGAGTGTGAACGAGCCTGGCCCGTTCACACTCTTGCGACGGAGTAAGACCGAGAGAGACCAGACCGGTTTTTAAGCTTCTTGCGATCTCTTAGAACCAGCTCCGCTGCAGCACTTCCGGTCCTAAGACGTCGCAAGAGGCTTAAAAACCGGTCTGGTCTCTCTCGGTCTTACTCGGTTGCAAATGTGTAAACGGCGCTTAACGTTCTAAAAGAAAAAAAAAGTGTACATCGGAATTTATGGGGCTCGATCATTCACGCTATACGTTCAACCGCAATCCAGGGCATGTACGTGCTGGGAGAAGCGGCTGGCTTGGAGTCCGTGTCCCACTTCCGGAACCTGGACGAAAACGACTTCAGAGAGGTTCCGGTGGCCGACCCCAAGGAGGCACTGATTGCCCTCTTCTACTCTTCCGGAACCACGGGGGTTCCCAAGGGAGTCGAGATCTCTCATCACTGCCTCGTCGCTAATCTGCACATGTCCAAGTAAAGGCGCTAATACCATAATCACGCTGTCTTTCGGCTACCGGCTCGAAAAACGTGACTTGCTCTCTATCTGCCAGAATAGATCGAAAATTACAAACTAACTAGACTTTAACGTCACGAAACGTCACACTGTCGCGTGACGTCACAAAGAGCAACAACGTCCGTTATTTTTAGCAAGGCTCAAATTCGCTAAATTTTTACATGGCAGCGTAACTCTACAGCAGAGTGTGCAGCGTCCCATGGTCATTATTGAAAAGTTAAAAATCAAAAAACCGACAATAGGAATTCCAGCAACCTTTAAAAACCTCTAACTTTAGCGGGAAAACCACTAAGCTGGCAACAATGATCTCGGCTGTCACCGGAGTTCATTTTCAGAAAACTGCAAAAAGCTGCCAATTATTTTCTTTTTTCAGGGTGTCAATTGTGGATGAGAAAACTAAAAAAATAAATAGTCACCAATGCACAGAAGCTCGACTTCTGCGCTGACCGGTACTCTCATTCTCCGCAGGGAAACGCTGTGCTACGAAAAGAACGACGTTCTGTTGGCATGGAGCCCCATCATGTACGCCTCCGGCTTCATGTTCACCATCGTTGCCGCCTGCATGGGATCAACCTGCGTCATGGTCAACTCATCGATTCCCTTTGAGGAATTTGTTCGTTACTCGAACAAATTCCAGGTGACTACGTCGAAAGACACCAGAGAGTTTTTGTAGATCGTTTCCGTCGTTCCGCAATGGTCTCCGCAACCCGCCAGGATACCCGTAGCTCCTCCAGACAACGCTATACTCCATTCAACCCTAAGCTAACAGTGCAGTGAGAGCTACGCGCTCGCTGGACAAATCAACCAAATTCCTTTCATCACCTAACTCCGCTCTATGCGTGAGTATAGTCACACGTATGACCGGTCCAACGAGCACGTAGCATCCAACGCATTCTCGGCTTAGGCGTGAAAGGAGTGCAGTGACACCCGTTTAGAACGAACCCACGTACAGCGAATTATTGTCGATATCGAACTCACGAAAAATTGAGATAAAAATGCATGTAAAAAGTATGTTTTATACTGAACAACATATTGGCTATATCGAACTTTTTCTCCCTGGAAGGCTTCCAAAAACGCGCAAACATTGTCTTCAAGCCCGTTCTTCCTTCCAAAAAACAAGTAGGAAAGAAAGAAAATTCCAAAAGCTCAAGTTGCGAACAAAACTGAGCTAAAAGAAGTGATTCAGAAGGGGAGAAAGGTAAAAAATACTCTCTGCACAGATAAAAATAAAAGAAAGAAAAACCTTCTAGCGCGTTGTTACCAGGCGGAAGTGAAGATATGAGAAAGAAAGAGAAGTTCTCGCCTCACGACGAACTCATCGTGGAAGTTTGTTGTAAATGCTTTTTGCTATATCGAACTATTTGCTATATTGAACTGAGGGTAGCGTTTCCCGCTGTTCGTTATAAACGGGTTTGACTGTAGATCAGCGCGCACGCGGAGTAGGGAAGTCTTTTTTCCTAAAGGAGTAGCGAGGAAAAAAAAAGATAAAAAAGCGCTTTACGCAAACTTTTCTACCTTATCGTTTGGCACAGAAATCGGGGAAGGAGACATCGGGCAAAAGTAGTACAGTCTTCTTTTCTCCGGAGTCACCTCGACAACGACAAAGACGTTACCAGAAAAAAAAAAAAAAAAAAAAAAAAAAACTGCCCGTTCTTTGGGAATATTTTAAAGGCACACACTAAATCCGTATCATTTGTAGATCTTCTGTGTCATCATTATGTCATCTGACGTCACGTGAGACTATGACGTCAGGTGGCTTCATGAGCTGTTGTCGTGACGTCATGACGCCACAGCGTCGCTCCATTGTGTCACCTGAGTCATGACTTCACGTGACGGTACGTCATGTGATCAGGTGACTTGACAAAAGGCACGTGACGTGACACCGTGGCGTAATGGCATCAAGTGACATGAGGTGTCAGGTGACGTGAGGATGTAACATGAACCGGCATGCTGATGACGTCATGTGAACACCGTCACGTTTTCCGCGTGATGTCACCACCGAGACTACACGCCACGAACCCGAGCCGTATATTGAGAAGTTTGGTCATTGATTGGGAAGTATACCAGGCAAATGAGGAGCCGCCATTGGCCGAGAGCGGGCTGGGCGTGTTCCAGGGCGTCTTCACAAATTCGAATGTGGCCAGCCAAAAGCCGCGAATATTGCCCTGGCGGCGGTCGCGAGAAACAATATTAATAGGTGTGTCAGAGTAACAGTCGGTGACTGAAAACATGCTGCACGTGATTTTTTTTTTTTTTTTTAACACGGTCATGCAAAATTAATTTCTATAGGAGAACGGTCGACGTGATCCGTACGCCAGGCGCCGAGGGCCGGGAAAATGCCGTGCGAGCGGTCGGACTCCGACCGAAAAAATTAGAGTTTGAGCGGCGCATTCGATTATTGCGTCTTTTTGTATGATCATGATCGTAACATCACACGTCAGTGTTAGAGAAAATACTCCATAAAAGTATTTAAGTAAAGTTAATAAATAGTAAATACATGCGGCATGAAGTATTTAAAGTACTATTTAATTTAGTTTCACTGCAAAGTACCTTGAGTAGAGGACAAACATTTAGAAATGTAATTCAATTACTTTTAGATACTTCCAATGGCGGATCCAAGGGGGAGGCGACGGGGGCGGCCCCCCCCCCCCCCCCCAAACAAAGTCGACCCCCCCCCCCTCTCCCTTTCTCGGAGGGCAATTTGACATGGGTGAACCCACCCGGTGCACACGAAAGAATGGGAGAATAGCATCCTTACAAATTTTCCGCCCCCCCCCCCCCCCCCCAAAGACGGAGTTTTGTATCCGCCCCTGGATACTGCCGCATTGCGTAATTTGTATCGACGTCAGTGTTAAACACAATTATACAGCTGCGCAAATCTTGTTTATCAGAATGGTCTATGAAAGCGCAACAACACAAAGCCGAAAACAAAACAAAAAAAACAACATCGTAGGGCTATTCTGTGCAGTCCTGCTATAACGAGCAGGATATCACTGATACATGTTACAAAACATTCATATGACAAAAAAAAAAAAAGAAGAGAGAGATGTTTTAGTTATAGCGACATTGCTGAATATCATGTCCTGCGTGCACCTTAGACGCATCAACGCGGCGAACTCACCTACCATGTCAAGTTTACTATAAACGAACTTGGGATACGGAAATGAGTGAACGGATAACAACAAGAGCATACGTAATAGCCACGGCACTGGTTGCATCTTCTTCAAGTAGGTTGCGTTCAGAAAGGCACTCAACGTGGGAGGACGCCTTGTTGGCATTTTGAGAGGTCATCCTGCTCGTAGTTCGTTTCTTGTCCTGTCCTCTGCTTATCAATGTTCGCTTACAGACAGTGTTCGCGAAAGCAAGAAGTGCCGGACTGACGACAAAAAAACCCCGAAGAACATTGACGTTTTGCAGTAGCGCTGTCGAATATACAACAAGCAAAAAAAAAAGTCTTCTTCTTGTGTCTATTTGTCGTCAACTTCTACTTGTTATTTCCTTGACACTGAAGTCTGGATTGTTCTCGTGGGTTGTTTCCCGTTCTGCGCTGCGCCTCGGTGTGGCAATCCTTACTTCAGTAAAACCACCCCTTTTGTTTGAGGATCTTTTGGGGGAAACTCTGGGAAACAAAAGGCGCATTTGGGGAGGCGAGGGGAAAACCTTCATTGTACGAACTTTGGGGTGAAATATGAGTCACAATCGGCCCAAAAGCGATGTTTTGACGAGCTCAATCTAAGTCACCGTAGCTTATCGGAACTTGCAACAGGGTTTGGTTGCTCGAAGGAATGTTCCCGTTTGCGGGTGCCACGCCCACACCACTTCATACCGAAAAACTCGGAAAATGTCGGAATGTAAAAAATTTATTTGAGATAATGAGTACAAGAAACCCAGAAATGTAATTAAAATACAATATAAAATACTCTCGATTAAAAGTTTTTGCAAGATACCAAGATACTTCAAAAAGTATTTGAAATGCAGTATCTTGAGTGGAGTATTAGAGATAAGCACAAGCCTTCACAACGTGCACTATACTTTCAACAATTGAAATGTTATTCCATTTTACTCTTACGCACTTGTTAAAATTGTTTCTCGCAACCACCGCTGGAGTAATATTTTCGGATTCTAGTTGGCCAAGAGCGCACGTTACGCCTTCTATCTGCATCTCGTGCACGCCCTGGCTCTGCCTGCACCTTCCATTGACCAAACTCTCTATATACCGCTTTGCCACGGACATGAAAGCGCTAATGGCCCTGTCACATTGAGGAAACACGGCGGAAGCATCAACAAAACATGTTTCTCTACAGTCGGGAAACATGTCGGCTGTCGGCTCTGTTGCCCGACAACCCTGTCACATTGAGGAAATAGCAACAAAACATGGACGACAGCGACAATGTTGTCTCGGTGTGACAGCTTTTGGCAACGGAAACCTCGGCAACTTGTGTCGGACGACACGTGTTGCCCATTTCGGTGGCTGAGGGAATTTTTTTCCAGCAATACGGCAACATCTATATTTTTCACTAGAGATAGTCGCACGAGAATACTTCAATAATTGACAACTCCCCATTTCTAAGCAGCCCTATCACTATTGCGATTAGCACATCCCTTCTTGCACTGTGTGGTTTGTCGGAGCGGTTGAGTTTATTCGATCAGTTTCAGTGTTTCTCTCGAGATGCCGTCGAACCCTTCAACTGTGCCGTTCACTTCGACTGAGGAGTCGAAAATGATCACGATGGTCGAGGAACGTCGATTTTTGTGTCCCTTTTTTCGATGCGCGATTTCACCCTTGCTAGAAGATCCTCAAAGGAGCCGGTGTCCATCCGAATCCAACGCCGGAAGGCCTCGGAATCTTCCAGAGCCAGCTCCCGCATCAAATTCTCATAGGCACCTTGTTGATGCACTCTTGCGAGCCACTCGCTGGTCCATTTTGAACGCGGCTTCTTGCGCGGCGGCAGCTGATCGTCAGAATCATCTGAATCGATGGCACAAAGAAGCACCAAAGCAGAAGCTGCTGCTGTGGCCGGCGCGTATGCCATCCTGCAAGGGTCTAAACCTGTAGCAGAGCGCAACCGCCAAATCCAGAGAACACGAGATGGTTCGCGCGGCTGATGAATCGACTACGGTAGAGCGACGGCGATGAGACGGCGATCCAAAATGGCAACGATTCAAGGGGCAAGCGGAGCCAGCGGATCTGAGCCTAGCCGCCTATACTTCGTTTCAGTTCGGTCCAGACGCAGCCGATGCTACAAGCGCGAGCATGTGGCCCAGAGTAGTGCTTGCACTGCACGAGCGCGCGTGCTTGGCAGGGATGCTGAAAGCCCGGAGCTCGCGCTTGTAGCTTTGGCTGCGTCTGGACCGAAGCTGAAACGAAGCAGACGAGGGCGAGAGAGAGAGAGAGAGGCAGCGCGCAGGAGAGGAGGCAATTTGTGTTCTTCCGACACGCTTTCCCGGTGTAACAGGATGTTCCCCGAGTGTCAAAGAACAAGTTGGGAAACATGGTTATCGGACGACAGCAACATGTTTCCGGACTGTTGCTGTTTCCGCAATGTGACAGGGTCCCCGAAAACATGCTTTCCTCGTGTTGAAGGACAAAGCTCTCCGACTGTTTCCGCAGTGTGACAAGGCCATAAGCGCTGGTGCCATAAACAATGTGCATTTGAAGGGGGATCGGTGGCCGAGTGGGCAGGCGCACACCTGCTCGGAGCACGTGGAGCAAAAGCTCGCGCTGCAGAACCCAGGGATCCTGGGTAGAATCCAGGGATCCTGGTCTTCAGAACCTAGGGGTCCTGGGTTCAATCCCGACCCCTGCCCATTTTGATTTGGATGAGCATCGTACCGGCGGGCGGTCGTGTATCACTACTGAATGATGCGCGTTAAACACCCCAGGCTACCGGTTGTACTGCACCGGCTAAAGTTCTCATTTGTAACTGGGAGGCAATTCTATCGTTGAGACAGACTAAGCTCTAGGCTGTATAAACATATGGAAACCATTTTTTTCTGTACATTTAAAACGCTTTTTTGCATTGAGTGCCAATTGAACCCACACTTCCCGTTTCCAGGTAACGACACTGGGTAGTTCTCCCGCGGGTCTTCAGTACCTTTTGGGTCAGATGAAACGCACCGGGGTCCGACCCGAGTCCATTTGCAAGATCAACGTCGGCGGCACCTTGGTCACTGAAGCACTGACCAAGAACGTGGTGTCGGTCTTCAAGAACCTGCGCTGCCTGAGGAACATCTACGCTATGTCCGAGTCCTGCGGTGTTGTCTGCGCACCGCCTGCTGATCAGATCAACTTTGGGAACATCGGTTTTCCGGGTCCCATGGTGGAACTCAAGGTGATATGCGCGCAAGCTGGCGCGCATTGTAGTGTAGTTTTATTTAATTATGCGTTTATTTAGTCGCCCCGAGGACCAGAGGCATTACAAAGGGGAGTCAGCTGCACATAGACCTTTTCACCCTCCATTGCATGGGCGCTGCCATCTTAGAATTACGTGACGCGGCCGCCATAAGGTGGCTTCAAATCGTCTCCTGTCTTTCCTCCGAGTGAAGGCGTTGTATTCGTGTTTTTCGTCGCGGTTTACCTCGCTTTTTTGCCTTGCTTTATGAAGTGTCGCCTGATACCTATTTTTACTACCTAACTGCATGCCATCGTCATGTGCACAACTTCTGCACTTGATTTAATGGCACGTTTTGACTATTTGCGACGTCGGCGTCCCGATTACGTGTGAGCAAAGGAATCAAAGCGAGCACTGGCGCACATCGAGTATGTAGACCACTCTAAGACACACGAGGGTTGAGAAGCCAATGATATATGATAGCGCAAGTTTGCTTAAGTAGCCGTCGCGCTCTAAGAAGCGCAAGGTATGTTTGTGATCAAGCATTTAGGATGCTAAATAAGGCAAATATAGTCAACGCCAGGAGTCACTTCATGTTTGTTGAAAGCATCGTGCTCTGCTTTTATAACAAATCCAAAACAGTTGCTTTTGATTATATGGAGGAATCAGTTTCGCGGTATAAACAATCGCTAGATCGGTTTATTTATGAATTTAAAGAAAGTATACACTCTGCTCGGTCTCATATCTCCAGTCATTCAATTTTCTTAAGATATCAAATTCAATTAAATTATTCTGACACTAAGGCTTGGCTCCCCGGGTGACAAATGTGTCAAGGACAGCTTGTGATTGCCTGACAAGAGCGCCCGAGGCACGCATTATGTGACGTCAAAAAGAAGCCGTCTGCATGGAAATCCCTCGAGTGCAGTGTTGTCGATGCCTAATTTCTTGACACCGCTGAAAGTAAAAAAAAAAAAAAAAGAGAGTGTTTAAACAACTAAATATCTGTCTACACAAATTCATGAAGCGGTGCTTGCCATTGGACTTGAGCCAAGCTTGCTGGAGGGTAATTCTCTCGCTCCATTCAGTTTTATTCCGCAATTTATACGAAAGACACTGCAGACGTCAGACTTCGATTGACGGGTTTGTTCCTTATCTCCTATTCTCAATACGTTCTAAGAAAATGTCCGCATAACAAATAGTTTCCTAAAGTCAACATTGTGAAATGCTGCTAATGAATACTTTAGCACGGCTGATAGTTAAAAAAATATCATACTCGTCGTAGGAAGCATTATCGAAACACCTCTCGAGTACTTAATTTAAAGAAACCAATGGAGACAATATCGCTTCCTTTTGCATTCCATGTGTCATTACACGGGCCTTTTTCGGTCGTCAATTTTCGCCAAACGTTGGTGTCCTCAAAAATTTAACAGTGAGCACTAAACTTGCGAGTTCATCTGTTCTGTGCAATTCAGCACACTGGTAGTCAGGCCGTCGGCCTGCTTTTTCACTGCCTCAATGCATTAGCCTCTTCGTTAGTTTATTTTTAGGGAAACTAGTATCAGCTGGTACGTCCAGTACGGCCGTCGACATCGCTAACTCTCCCCCGGCATCATTTGAGTCGTTTCGGTAGCCAAACCTGACCGAACGAGGAGCATGATTAGATGAAGGTTTTCGTTAAAACGTCCACAATTCAGGATCGTAACTGCGTCGTAGTTCTCAGGTTGGCCCATTACCTCTGCATCATTGGTTCTGTGCCATAAGGGATACGTTTATACAACAAAACTGAGTGAAAATGACATAGCACACCAACACAGCCGCGAGCCCGCTGCAACCGAAACCAACTAAGTTGAAGCCACCTCATGCATGTATGTATGTATCTATGTATTTATGCGTCGCTTGCTCTTTGCAACGAGCGTCTGCAAAACAGACACGCCCCCCCCCCCCCCCCCCCCCCAAAGGAAAAAAAAAAAAAGGAAAATGAAATTGGAGTATTGTTGCTGCTGGGTCGCCGCACTGGCGCTCCTCGTAGTTAATGGGCTGAAACAGCTCGTCAGATCTCCCGAGACTCGTGCCGTTGAGAACTTTCTGAAGTCCCTCCAAGCTTGTCTGCCCGTCTTCTTTCCGTTTGGAACTGCCTCTTCAACTCCTTCACCGTAGACAATCCTCTCTTGTCCTGCATCTTGCACTCCTCGGTGTTGTCCTGTGCTCTTTTATGTCCTGCATCTTGCTTGTCCTGCATCTTGCTTCAGCTTCTTTGCTTTCTCCTCGAAATCGCCCTTCTGGTTGCTTGACATCTCCAGATGAATGGCGAGATTCTTTACGGCATCGTCCAGCTGCGACTTGAGCTTGCATGGTGCAGCCGTCCGAACGTTGCCTTGCTTTGCACTGCTCCAGGTCATTTTTGGACGCCTCGATGGCTTTCTGTAGCATGTCCACGCGTTCCTGCGCCTCAGCGTTGAGTTGAAGTACCTCCTCTTTCATAGAGGGCAGCAGACGCTTGTACAGTGTCAGCGCAGCTTCGTTCTCTATTACCTTCGCCGCACGCTCCTGCTCAACAAGAAGTGCTTCGTTCGACAAGTGTAGCTTCTCCTCAAACTCCTGCCACATTTTTTTACGGGGCCTGCCTGTGTTTCTCCTCTTCCGCCGCGTGTGTCAGCGCTTCTGTCCGCCGGTAAGGTAACTACTGAGATAAAAAGGTCTATAGAGTGGCCATAATGCTCCGAGTGAAAAACGGTGCACAATAGGGCTGCGTTCAATTTGCTTACACCTCCTGCACCAGTGCAGAAAAGTGTAGGGCAGTCTACTTTCGGTATATGTATTTAGATACGACCGGAAGCACACCGCCCTACACTTTTTTGCACCGGTGCAGGAGGTGTAAGTAAAGCGCGAAACACATGTACGACTAAACCGTCCGATCCGACGTCCGATCAGGCAATACGACGGTCGGAGGCGAGGGTTTTCAACGCTCGCCGGTGCTACGAAAACCCTCGCCCCCCCCCCCCCCCCCCCCCCTACCCCCCAAAGTCATTTCGGCGGATCGGACGGTTTCGTCGTACATGTGTTTGGCGCTTTAATTGAACGCGGCTATTGAGACTGGGTGGGGGAGCACGCCCCACCCCAGAAAGAGAAAAAAACTATTTTACTCTTCTATTCAGAGCAAAAACAATTTTTTTTTTTTTGAATTCACAACATTAGTATTTTTTTTTCTTCATATTGAAACAACGAGGAAGGAATTTCGCTAACCAGAGCACGCCATATGATGTAACAGAGAAAGAGTCTCATATACACACGTTTATGAAATCGCAATCTATTGGCAGATGCCACCGCAGAGGTACTACGCCAATGCACCTGAAAATTTAATCTCGAGATTATGCTTAATGGGGTGTGGGGTAATTGCGCTAAGACACATTTTCGCTTCGTCATCAATGAGGTATAGTGAAGTCTATGGCTGACATCCATGAGCCACATGATGGAAGTTTACAAGGCACGCACCACAGAGAGTGTCTGGAAAATGACTAGAAGGGTTCTTTTCAACATTAAATTAATTGGCTTTGTCCGACTCAAGTTTCAGAGAATAATTGTCATGAATGGATTATGTCCACCAAAATATAATCACAAATCATCATGACAGAAAAGAACAAGATCTCCATTTTTTTTTATTGGAGTGGCCCTTCAACAGGACAAATTACAACTCAAAGTATAAAATCTGAACTCACGATGTAAGAGACTGACGAAGGTCACGTGAGCCTGAAATCCATTGCGGTTTCATAAATTATAGCCACGCCTGGCAAGTCACATTGTTTAGAAATAAGCAAGAATAATAATTCACATCGTCTGTGTAGTGAATATAGCAACGCAATGACTTCGAAAATTTAGATCTCAGGAAGTAATAAAGTAAATAAGGTCCTTGTGGTACAAGCCATAGCTCGACGATAATCCTGTTCAAGCTGAAGACACACACACACACGCACGCAGGCACATACACACACACACACGCACGCACGCACATGCATACGCGCACGCACATACGCACGCATGCACGCACGCAGGCACAATCACAAATTCTAAACCTGGCATAGGGCACAGTAACTTGTTTTCCTCGTTTTTCTAGTTGCAGGTTTATTACCTTACAGTCACTAAATATGCAAACACTGTTTCTCTATTAAACGTAGTTCATCGACCTCGAGACAGGCGAGAAGCTAGGTCCTAACAAGGAGGGTGAACTCTACTTCCGCATTCCGAGCGTCATGAAAGGCTACCACAACATGCCAGAGAAGACGGCAGAATTTATCGACTCCGATGGTTGGTGCCGTTCAGGTGAGAAGGCACTCTGAAAAAAAAAAAAAAAAAAAGATGGTTGTGAGCTTACAGTGAGCAAGTGAAACGTCATGCCCCATGTCCCTGTGCGCATCGCGTTTTTTTCTTTATTTTAAATCGTATTTTCAGCTTTGTCATTCTGGGATTTTTACACTGTTCGCGGTGATTGGCCATCTCAGAGCTGTGCAGAAGGGTGAAATTAAGTTTAAAGTGTCTGTTCATTTGTAACTGGTTAAAGGTGTTACATTAAATTACAACGTGCGAAATATGACTGTCAAAGGCAGGTGATCAGAATCCCAAAGGTAACTTTCAAAAGTGACGTAAAAAATTGGGGCTCCAATCCACGCTGTGAAGGTGGTTAGCCAGCGAAGCTGTCGTATCGCCTGCAACGATTGCCCAGTGCACTATGCCAAATTATTGACGAAAAAGGAGGAAATGCACTGCACCAAAACTGTTTTATAAAAACCCTTTACATACGTCGACAGGCAGTGCTTCATTTTTTGACCTCCCAGAGAACTTCCGGTTCGTAAAAAGAATGAACAAAGCCCACCTTGACACCGCTGCCTGAAATGTCGATGAAACGTTTCACCACCAATTCTCCACGTGAACCCCAACCGAACGAAGAAGCGGGAGATCTGTTAAAACGTTTAGAATATTTTTAAAACCAAATTGCCTCCTCCAAGACCTTAAGTTGTACAGCCGAATGCCATCGTTAAACCTCCAACTTTGTTTTACGTGTAGCATTTATGCTTTTTCTCCCTGGTGACATAAGCAAGCTCTACGGGCTTGCAAAGACGGGGTGACCGGAAGTCGCTTGGGACGCAAGTGCCAGTTCATGTTTTCAGACAGCAAAAGGGTCTCCATGAAGGACTTTATACGCTGCCGTTGCCGCGGCAGCTTATCCAATCGCAGTCTTTACCGAGAAACGCATGCGGGAAGCGCTACGTGCTTCGCAATGTTAGCGGGGCTTGTGACGTCACTCCCCACTTCGTACTCTGACGTTGCCGCGGCAGTTTACGCAACCGCAATGTTTACCGCGAAACGGATGCGGAGAGCGCTACGTGCTTCGTATTGTTCACGCGCGCCTTATCATCTATCATGTGGTTTTGACACTTGTTTTGTTGTTTTCTTATGAAACAAGTGTCAAACTCCCATGATAGAAGATAAGGCGCGCACAAACGAAGATAAGGCGCGCGCGATGGTTTTCTGTCGACTACTTTTCTGCCGATGGACACACAAAAAAAAAAAAAAACCGACCAACGTGTCATATACAGCTTCGCTTTAAAATTGACGCTACTACCGTGCGGAAAGCGCATCCACCTCAACCTAGGCTGGCTGATCTTTTTGTGGATAAGAAAACTTTATGCTGTTTTTGTAACACAAGCTTCTTTTCGGGAAATGGGCAACAAGCGATCCTATGTACTAAAAAAGAAAAGGACAGCAGTGTAATGTCTTGAACACTAAATGAAGAGTTACTGATGGAATGTTTACCAAATACGGCCCCTTCATCATCATCATCACTTATTTTTCTTGAAGACTCAAAAGGGTATTACTCAAGGGGTGAGTATACCTATACAAAAAAAGAGAAACCAATCAATACAACTTGAAAAAACGTTAGGACACTGAAATCTATATAGGGGGTTAGAGAGAAAGAGGGTAGTGGGAGCTGCAAATTTGTTGAGTTATTTTTGGAAACAATGTGGTCACGTAGTGCGTTCCACTCTTTAATGGCCGATGGTATTGTAGACATTTGATAAGACACTGTGGATGAAGAAATTTCGTGTAATTTGCATGAATGGTGGGAAAATTCGGTGAGCAGGTGATAGCAAAGGTTCTTTAAGATATGCTTTGCTGATGAAGAAGATAGGAGCGGGACACAATCTGGCTGAGGGAAAGTGTGTCCAGGTTAGCTGACCGGCGTAATCTTGATGTGCTAGTATATGGAGAGTAGTCAGAATAAATGCAACGACGTTATCTATTTTGAACGGCTTCTAGGGCGTTACTTAAGTATGATTGCCATGGAAACCATGTTGGAAACGCGTATTCTAGTTTGGATCTTACCAATGTAGTGTAGGCTAGTTGTTTTACTGAGGGCGACGCTAGTCTGACGTTATGGCGTTAAAATGCGAGAGTACGGTTAGCATTAGCAACTACAGAGGTTATGTGGGTATTTTATGTTAGGTCAGAAGTAAAGTGGATTCCCGTGTATTTGTATGATGAATAAGTCATCACTGGGGGGATAGCAAGGTGATGCTAAAATGATGCAACAAGTGAAGGGCGTGAAAGTGAGGGCGATTTACATTTATCGAAATTTCACGCCATTGGCCTTTTGCGCCACCAGTGAGTTCATGAGGTAAAATCGTTTTGTAAAGTTAGTTGATCATTATGTTAATGAATAGGTTTGTAAATTACACAATCATCAGCGAATGAGCGCATTGAAGAAGAGGTGTTATTATGCAGGTCATTAATGTACACTAGAAATAAAAGAGGGTGAAGTACCGTCCCATGAGAGACGCCAGGCGATATCTTACAGGTCGGTAATTCCACGTTGTTAACAGAAGAGTATTGGGTACGACTAATCAGGGATTCAGAGATCCAGTTGATAACAGAGGGGTGAAGATTAAGATTTCTAAGTTTGAGTAAAAGACGTCAACGAGGAACCTTGTCGAATGCCTTAGTACTAAGTCAAGGCAAATAGCGTAGGTTTGAACATTGGAATCGAAGCCTCTTTAAATGAAGTCGAGGAATACTGTTAATTGGGTTTCGCACGAAACTTGCATGCAGCGGCTTGACTTTTTATTCCTTTTTATTGTAACATGATGCCCCGGGCTGACACACTATCATGGGCAAGTGAATAAGTTCCAGTGACGTAATAGAAGGAAACACGTGATCGCCAAATACACTAAAAAATCTTGGGCGTCTACTTTTCTAGAAAGCACTTGGAAGTGTTAATCGTTGCAATCTACAGAAGGAGCTTGGCGAATGGCGTGGCTAAAACTATGCTTAAACTTGGGAAAAGAGCGTACTCTGTAGTAATGATATGGTTAAACGTCATGCTTATTGCCATAGCGCATGTGGCGCCGACAGTTTCTTTTTAGGTCTATACATATGGTTTTTCGCCGAATTCGCTCCTTAGCTTGCAGCGATTGACCCTTCTAAGTTCATCGTGGGAAAGTACACCTCTGTATTTCTTAAAGTGGAGGGCTACGCCATTAAATGCGCATTAATTCTTTCTCCAGTTAACCAGATATCCATTGCAGATACCACGAATGAGCACCATATTGTAATATGAAAAAAGGATATATTCCCCGCTGAAGTGTAAATAACTGCGATGCAGCGGGCTTGCTGACATGATCCTCCCGGAGGGAGTATATTTTACCATTTGTTTCTCCCTGAATACCATATGCGCGAAAAAAATCTGAAAGAAAAATTGCCATTCCTCTCGACAGGAGACATCGCCTGGTACGATGAAGACGGCCGTGTTTACTACGTCGATCGTATCAAGGACATGATCCAGTGTCTAGGCCACCAGGTGTGCCCGTCAGACCTGGAGCGGCTGCTCCAAAGCCACGAGGACGTCGCCGACGCGGCCGTTACCGGTGTCCCCCATGTCCAGTACGGGGACATGCCCGTAGCTTTTGTTGTACTGCGGAACTCGTCTGGCTGCCCAGAGGACGTGGCCGAGAAACTCAAGGACTTCGTTGCGGGTGAGGCAAAGGTCGACCGCCTTAACGTTCCTTCGTGAGGCATAAAGAAGTGAATTTGTATTTAGGCAAACCATTACTAGTGCCTTTTTGACCTTGGAAAGCATCATCGTTGCCAGGATAAAAGTTACAATAACACACTCTAAGACCATGGCTCACAAAAGCACTCCATGACTCACAAAAGCGTCTGTGAGTCATGGAGCTAGCCAATCATGGTGAACTTATACAGGTTTCTAGCGCTTATCACTCAGACGAAAAATGCTGAGTCACTGGGTTATGAACGCATGCTCAGAACGCAATCCACAGCCGAGTAGACGAAAAATGGCAGCGCAGACTAGGTGATCGAAGAAACCCAGAATACGACTGGATCCGAGAAACGCGATTTCCGCACGGTTAAGGAGCAAATGAAACGTCATACATTATCTCTGCGTACATCATTTTTTTTAGGTTTAATTATATAATTTGATTTTTGTGATTCACTAGAAGCCATACGAGCTATCACTGTAAAATGAGATATATAGAAACGCGGACCATTTGGTCCAATGCTTTTTAATATCGAGCATTCTAAGACGTGCGGTTGGCTTCCCATTCATAACTGCTACTTCTCTCGCTGCTGGCAATTCCCTACAAAATGTTTATTTTAGTTTTGTTTTCGTTTTAGAAAGGACGCTGTACTACAAGCACATCTACGGGGGCGTCTTCATCGTGGACAGGCTCCCGAGAAATGTGAACGGAAAAGTTCTGAAGCAGCAGCTGAAACTTCTCTACAATAACAAGACTAATTAACGGCTAGCTGTTTCTCAATGACACGCGCCAGTCTCGGCTTTATTACAGCTGTTCTAAATAATGCTAATAATAAAGTACTTTACGTGTCTGATGTAAACAAAACAAGCTTCATAACTCTTTCGGGTTTCTGTCTGGAACGTGTACCAATGAAACACAACAGGGGATTTAAAATCTACTCGCCAATATGCTCGTTTCTTTTTTTGTGTGTTTTTGTTTTTTGCCGCATTTGACGGTACAGGTACTTTTCCAGCCCTTGGTAGAGCGCTGCTCAGCATAATATTATCCACGGTTTGACGCAGACAGCACGTTTTACGTTTCAAGATTGTTTTGAAAGACCTGTCTCGATAAAAGGAGCAAACGAAGCTGCTTGGTCGGCCCAAAGATTACGTAGATGCCGTGATCCTGTACTCTCTTCCAAGTTAAAGTTTAAACAGATTATTATCATTTTTTTTTTTTTTGCTGAAGAACAATATTAAGGAGCTTCTATTTAGCGCCAACAGCGCTCTGAAGTAGAAGGAACATTTGAGGTTTCCGCTTTCTTGAGATAGAACTCAAGTAGAGAGGGTCTGGAAGTTGGAGCCTCGGGGTTGTTTTTCTCTGAACGTTTCTGGTACAAATATTAAAAGCGTACTATTATTGCTGATATAATTTTTCTAGATCTGGACCTTTCCGGTCTGTAATACTATTAAATGACATCTTTCGCGAAAGGCACACACACAAAAAAGCGCGCATTTTTGTTTTATCTAATTATCATGAGCATTAGACGAGCCAATTGAACGCTAAGAGTTGCCACTTTACTTTCTCTTTTGGACCAACCTAGTGTGCTTCTAATTTCTTACGTAAGAAGATGAAATCCTTGGCGTAACATTACACATACACGCACACACAAACAAACGTGTTTTTCAAGAAAGCTTCACTTACGCTAAAAAAACGTACCTTTGATAAAGATATAAAAAAATATTTCGTAGTCATTGGCTAGTCCAACTAATATAAAACGGGTGAAAAATCTGATGGAAAACATGGACACCGAATACAGGAATCGATAAGCATCTTGGACAAAAGCGTATTTTTAAAGCGCCGCTCTTAAGCGCCCGTTTCCGGCTTTAGCGGCGTCGGCGTCGGCGTAACCGCGCGGTGCATTATGGGACACCGCGCCGAAACGTCACGTGACGAAGCGCGTTTCGCGCGTGAAAGAAGGACGAGGGGAGGAGGAGAAGGTACGGATGAGGAGGAGGGGCATACCCTCCCTTCCTCCTCCTCAAGAGCTGCGCTCTAAATCGGCGTTACAGGAAGTTGAAAACGTCTTTCATTTTTTTTTTCTCGTTCGTATAACCAATCGTGATGACATGTGACCTTTGCGAGTTGTTTACTGTTCGACCCTATTATAATTCCCTCGATAAGCTGTAGTTATTTTGTAAGTAACCAAAATAAGTAAATAAAACATATTTTCGCGACATACATGTTTTACAAAGTCACTTTTTAAAAAACGTTTTTAGAAAGTTCAGTGCTCCTTTAAGGGTTCTTTTCGGTAATGATATTTTTGCGTATGTGAACTCGGAGAGCACTCTAAAAATACTTGACTTTAAAAACCTTTCTTTTAAGAGTGATAGGGGGTGCTAGTGTCCGTCTCCCTCGAAAAGGTAATAAGCAAGGAACTTCCTTCCTTACCCGATTGAGAGTGTAAAAGCTGCTTGTTCCATCCTTTTGGGGACCTTTTTTTTAAGAGTGTAGGTACAAACATTTGCATCATTTGTTTATTCGAAAGAAAAGCACCGGAAACAACAAGCAATCAAAGAGTTTCTCAAGAAAGCTATAAAGGCTCATTGTTAGCGCAGCCGCAGCGATCCAGCGGAACACTGCCATCAGCCATTTCGATGCTGCGGAAGCAGCGCCTTCTTCTGCACTTTCCCCGTCTCGGTCTTGGGGAGCGAGTCGACGAAGTGGACTCCGCCATAGAGATGCTTGTGCACTGCGCAAGAACCTGGCAGAACCGAAGAAAAAAAGACATTTGAACGAACGCATAACAATCAGCGTCGTACCATGCGTGATCTCGTGGGATGGCGAATCCGCGGTACATGTTCTATATATCGAACGCAGCTGTTGGCACAGGGAGGCAAGTCTGGCCTATATATAAATACTAGACCAGATCCCCTTATGGAGTGGGCCGTGTAACGCTTACAACTAAGTGTCCTTTTTCGCGTTTCGATATCTTAATATTTTGGCAGTGAAAGTTGTTCCGTGTACAGCCCCTACATAAGCTGCGCATCAGATAAACGTCACTTCAGCAATCATGGCGTTTAGTATCATCGTTGGCCAGCTGTGGTCTGAAGCTTTATCTGATATCGCAGTAAACGCTTGTCCGTCGTCCAAAAATTTTAAAGCAGTTCGCAGCAGAGCGAAGCAGTAAAGAGTTTTAGGGAACCGTTTTTGCCCATCCGATACGGTATACGATGGGCCCTCCGGTACGAACTGCGCATGCGCCATACCACAGAAGACTCGCACATGCGCAGTTCGTACCGGAGGGCCGGAAGAACGGTCCCCTAAAGCTCTCTGTTATCGGCTGAGGGTCCTGGCACCTTAGCTAAAGCTGAGAACGTCGCATTTTTTTAATCGGAACGATCGCATATAGAGGCCCTTTTTAGAAGTCCGCGCCAACGCCTATTCGTTATTGCTTGATCACATACTCTGAGCTTGCATTGGACACAAGTGTGACATCAGCGTTCGGCGAGGAATGGGGTCCAATCACGCGCTTCGTGTCCAAGCAATGGCGACCGCCAGTGTTGCTTGATAGACTTTCGAAAATAGTCTATTGCGGCCGCTCTGCACCAAGCCCCAAAAATGGCGGCGCCCACGAGAAAACCGGCGAACAGAGTGACGATAATCTAAGCTTGACTTGTCTAGTTTTTTGCTGTGTTTTGTTGGCCTAAATCCCGATGTCCTAAACTGTCCCACAAGAAATAAATCCCACCGATGCCACAAAATCATAGTAGTTATCGATAACTGCGGTGAAATTGCTCTCCTGCAAACACACAAAAAAAAATGGCCTCATTGATGACGTATATAGCGCCGTTCCGCGTCGTTTGCAAGCGTAAACAATAACTTTATTTTTATTCCAAGCTTGCAACTATGCCCCCTAAGTTCCCTAACGTTCTACAGTTACAGTCACAAACAACTTAAGAAACCCAGGGCATGGTATACCATGATACGCTTTTTTCTCCTTTGTTCGTTCTTAGGCATTCTTATCGGCTAATGCTGCAATGGCATTGACTGTTGAGCGATAATAAGATGCTCCTTAAGCTGTCAGTGGCTCTTTCAAGTACACTGCTTACCCGCAACGATGCTCTTGAGTTCCTCTTCGATATCTTTCTTCCGCTCGTTGTGGGAGTTCTTGAGGACCACGAAGGCGGCAGCCGCTTCGCCGTACTCCTGGTGCGGTAGCCCCACGACGGCCACCTCCCGGATGCCGTCGTGGTGCTTCATGAGTAGGTCCTCGATCTCGCCTGGAACAACCTGGTTGTCCATGCATCGGATCATCTCCTTCAAACGTTCCACGAAGTACACCTTCCCCTCTTCGTCGTAGTAGGCCACGTCTCCTGCGAAGTTTAGGGGCAGACAATGATACACGCGTGGAGGAGAGGGACTCTTAAGCCTTTCGGTAAGGTTCCTGTCACGTCGTATGTTGCCACGTCGGAACCACTTTTGATGCATGGGCGATGCTAAACACGCCTGTCGAAAACGCGTTCCATGCACCGTACTTTCGGTCTCAAGGAACTGTAGACGCCAACGCGCTGTCTACAAACAAGCCGTTTGTTTTCCCGCACCTTGTGTGGGTACTGCCTGTGCGCGAGAACTACATTCTCCCGAGGTGGAGCGTTCGCCCATGCGCCATGCATGCAACAGCGCAACCGAAGCAAGGTTACGTCGCAGTCGAGCCTCCACACCTTTTGTTATTCTCGCAAAAGACAGTCACAGGACTCACACACTTTATTAACGGATTTGATCACACAAGAGACAGAGGTGAGCAAGCCATTCCATGCTTAAGCGTTGTCCAAATGAGATAAGGAAAGAAAGTTTACCCGGGGGCGGCGATCCAAAACGCGGTGCAGGATCTCCGGAATTCTTTGGGTAGCGCTTGGTTTGTATGATGCCAGTTTTATTGTTTCAGAACCGATGGTTTAAAATACCCGGTTTAACCCGGCAATTTCGACATTCACGGAAACTGGGGCAGCCCAGCACAATGCTGGGGATATACTAGCCAAAACCACACAACTGATATGTATTAAAAAAAAAAAAAAAAGAAAATTGAGGGCTACCAACCTTATTTCTGTTGGACCTGGCACCGTACGTCAATTAAAACCGTTAAATATGTAAAAGCTCATAGCTAGTGTCCTAAAATACGACCCAGTAAAAAAATATTCCCAATCTATAAGGTTACGTGCCCCATCAGTCACGATCTGTTTTTTCTCGTTCCCTTTATAACTCAGAGAATTGTGACTATCGCAGATAGACGACCGAACTGTCCTGACACTTACCCGAGCGGCACCAGCCGTCGGCGTCCATGAATTGAGCGGTTTCCTCAGGCCTGCCATAGTAGCCTCTCATGCAGCTCGGAATTCTGAAGTAAAGCTCCGCAGGCGTGTGCGGGCCCACCTTCACTCCGGTGTCAATATCTAAAAACTGAAATAATAAGTGGCACGTTTCGCTCAACGGACATACAGGTCAAAGACATATAGAAATGTATCCCCATAAGGGTTATATTGCTTCTAAGTAGGGTTCCACGTTTTCGGTAAACACAGATAAACCGCGAAAATTACCCCCGAGCTGCATTTATCAAGATCTGAAAAAAAAAAAAAAAAAAAAATCAAATTAATGTTGTTTTTGAATGAAAAAAAAAAAAAAAGAAAAGAAATGAAAGATGTTTACGATTCCCTCCAATGCCGAATTAGAGCGCAGCTCTTGAGGAGTAGGAGGGGAGGGTACGGAGAGAAGTTTATGGCCCCTCCTACGTACGCTCTCCTACTCCCTCCTCCCCTTTCATTCTCCTCCCTTCCTCCTTCCCCTCCTCCTCCCCTTCCCTCCCTCCTCTCTCGTGACGTCACTCGTGACCCTCGTGACGTCACACACGACGTCACCTGACGTCATTATGGCAAACATCCCATAATGCAACGCGCAATTACGGCGACGGCGACGACGACGACGCTCAAGCCGGAAACGGGCGCCTAAGAGCTGCTCTCCAAAAAATGAAAGCTTCAGAGAAAGAAAATCGTTGTATACAGTTTTACCTTGCACAGACCTAGAATGCAGCGCCCAATGAACTGTCATTGAGGATTTTTACTTCGGGGCTACACAAGTAGAGCCGTTTCCGACCTTTTTGCCCCGCTCAGTTTTCTTCATTTGACGTCACTTCGGAGTCAACGTCTATGATGGTGCCCGACAAGCTGGGTGCACCAGAGTAAGACCTTTGTTCGGTATTGTTAGGGGAGCCATTTTCAAGTCTTTTATTGTTTCCAGTTGCATTCATAAGAGCTGCTGCTTGATAGAGTATTTCGTCGCCGATGCTCGGTGCGTCCGTCGGGAAAGAGATGTTTGGGCGGTCTGGTCTGTGATGGGTGAGCGTCGCATGGTCTAGGCGGAAGCCGCCAGGGCCAATGCCTCGCTTCCTGTCAAATAAGCGATTGCGCATGTCTAGCTAGTCGAAGAAATTGCGAGTGTGTCGATATAATACTCACACTTTAGGAGCGATAGCACGAAAGAACATCACAGTCCTGTAGGAGTTTACAAAAGAGCGTTTGAAGACGCTAAATCTCACATTTTTACACGTAGTCTTCTAGACATCATTGGTAAATAACCCCGTTAAATTTTGGAATACTGTTAACAAAAAGGACCGTTTTTTTAATTTCTGTTAAAACTTCAAGTGGTGGTAGTGTGCCCAGTGACAAATGTGCTAATGACTTAAATAGTATATTTATTGAATCTTCTTCTAATATTAGCAACATAAGTTACCCTTCGATGAACTGTGTCTGTTATGTACCAATGGATGATATATCTTTGTTGATCGCACTGGTATTGCAAAAATTATAGATAAACTGAAATTATCATCCTCATCAGGAGTGGACGGTATTGATTCCAAGTTTTTGAAAAACACTAGATTATACTCATCTCTTATCCTTTCCAAGTTGTTTGAACAGTCGCTGCAAAATGGTATTTTACCTTGTGATTGGCGAGTGGGGAAGGTGGTTCCAATTCCGAAAGGCGGCGATAAACATTCCCCTAACAACTATCGTCCCATTTCATTGACAAGCATACCATGTAAACTTCTGGAACGTATCTTTTCCCAACTTGTACATTTCCTAGTGTGGAATAATTTCTTCGCTGAAGCACAGCACGGATTTTGTAAATCATTATCTTGCGAAAACCAACTCCTATCCTTCACTTATGACATTCATTCTATTCTTGACCGAGGCTCCCAGGTGGACTGCATTTCCTTAGATTTCGCCAAGGCATTCGATAAGGTGTGTCACGAGCTATTACTGCTGAAACTTGCAAACCTTAACATTGACCCTAACGTTCTCTCGTGGATTCGGTCTTTTCTGAATAAGCATTCACAATTTGTAACAATTAACAACGAAAACTCTCCACCTGTGTCTGTGAATTCTGGAGTTCCTCAAGGGTCTGTTTTACGCCCACTACTATTTTTAATTTATATTAACGATCATCCCATTAATGTGTCTTCATCCGTTTGTCTCTTCGCCGATGACTGTGTAATTTACTTTGAAATCTGTCATGATTCTGACCTGTCTGCACTTCAGTCTGATATTGACTCTGTTTCTCGTTGGTGTGAATTATGGCTAATGAAACTAAACACTAGTAAATGCAAACACATGAGAGTGTCCCGTAAACCTAACAACAGTCCCTCTTACCACCTAGATGGCAACGTGTTGGAGCAAGTGGCAACGTGTTGGAGCAAGTGGCAACGTACACGTACCTTGGTGTTCACTTAACAAATAACCTTTCATGGAAACCCCACATTCAGTATGTTACTACCCGTGCTAACTACATGCTGGGCTAGCTAAAACGGAACTTTTCATTGGCACCTTTTCCACTAAAATTGATCCTCTACAAAACATTAATCAGGCCTAAATTAGAATATGCAGCCTCCATCTGGGTTCCGGTCACGATACTCTAGTCCCTGCATTGGAATCCATTCAGAATAGGTCAGCCCGTTTCATTCTTTCCAACTACCACCATACTGCTAGTGTCACATCGATGAAAAATAGTTTGTTTACCACTTCTCTCCTTGCGACGTAAAGCTTCACGCCTATGTCTATTTCATAAATTGTATTTCCATAATCCTCTCCTACGGAATCAGATGATTACTCCCCCCTTTTACATTTCATCCCGTCTTGACCATCTTCACAAAGTTAGAGTTTCAAGTTCATTTACCACGACATTTCAATCTTCTTTTTTACCCCGCACAGCCAAGTAATGGAACCACCTCCCAGGGTTGATTGCTACTATAACTGATACTAACCTGTTTAGAAATTCCATCCCTATTTCAGCAGTGACCCATGATCTGTTGTTTTTTCCTTTGTTTGTTGTATATTTAATATGTTTGACTTGTTGCTATTTTACTATCTTTGTTTCATGCATGTGCTCTCTCCCCCTGTAATGCCTTCGGGCCCTGGGGGTACTTTCAATAAATAAATTAATTAATAAGAGGCTTCCTTAGCTTCTTCGTCGTCGTCGTCCGAATCCCTTCTATAGATCATCATTTGTATTGTGTACAGTGTTGTAACGCTCGCACGCAGCCATTATTACCAAACATCAAAAACTTCTGGCATTGCAAATGTCAATTAATGAAACTCTTGCTGCAGTCCATCAGTTGCTAATATCAACATAAAATACCTACGTATCCAAGCCACAGTGTTCACAATTTGCCGACGTTCGCTTAAGAACGAACTGCGACCTGCAAATACAAGACTTTTCTGTTCAAAATGTCTTAAACACCGTGCAGAGCCATGGCATAGGTGTTTTGAGTACCAGCTGAAAAGGTACTCCCTCAGTCTTTCTCTGGTTAAAACGAAATGTATAATTTACATAAGATCACCGTCGTAATCTATATAAGTTCACCGACACACACATAAAAAAGTGTTTATCATTTTTAATTATTTTTATTGCCTTTCGCCTGTATGCTCATACTTGTTTGTACCTCTCTGAATAATACGGTACTTTTGTACAGCATGCCTGTTTTTGTTGGGGATCGGAAATCTCAGACAACCATTCGTCCGTTTTTTTTTTCCTCCTTTCTTCATTGGAATAAAACGATAAATCTGGGGTTATAACAATAAAGAAATGTATTTCAGTCACCTTAAAATTATAATTTACAAACAACACAAATGACGAGCCATGTTGCTGCAAACCAGTTATGCTGAAGAAAAAGAGCCGTACTCAGATAGGCAAGTCTAAAAATTACGCTTTCAGTTGTGAAGTGAAACTAAACCTTGTAGCAATTTCAGCCCAAAGTCCTGAAGTAGGAACCTCACTGACAGTTCTTTGGGAGCTTCGTTTTGGGGTCAGCACAAAGTAAAGCTCTAGACAAAGATTTTGTTTCTGTGAAGCTTTGGGTTTTTCCTTATTCAAGGACAGCTCCAATTCGGTGTTTTCGTTTTCTCCCAATTTTGATAAATGCAGCTCGGGGGTTAAATTTTCGGTGTTTATCGCTATTTACTAAAAACGCGGAACACTAAAGGCCGGCCTATAGAATCGTCTGCTGCTGGTCGGAAGACCAGTTCCCAGTTTTCTCCCTCGCACTCTTGTCCCCTCCTTCCATCGAAAGAGCGGCCGGGTCTCTGAACTACGCACCACAGAAAGTATGACTCCGTTTCAGCTTAGCCTCGAGCGTGGCCAAAGCTACGAGTGGACGGGGCCAATCAAACGGCGGCGATAGGACGCCACTGCGCCTACACCTCGTGTATCACTCCGCGCGGAACCTGGGCAGAGGTGCAAAGGAGTCAAAGAGAGTCATTTCGTCTGCAACGGGAGTATCGACGGCATCGTCTGCTACATAAACAAAAAATGTCAATCCGCGTCTTGGAATAAAACTCCGAATCAGCGCGGTGACTGCTGGGCGTCTCGGAAGGCCGTCGCACTGCCGACAGAGGAAGGCCGTAGCTGGAACAAGGAAGTTGGCAACGTCGGGTCCTCTTCTCTGCCGCGGTGCCGTCCGGAGTTCACAGAAAAAGCGGGTTGAACGAGCTCTCTAGATAGAGTGCCGCCCTGTCTCTGATTTCGAACAAAGCAGAACGCTCTCTCCGCAAACGCATGGCAGCAACAAAAGCATACCGCCTCACTCCGGTCGCACTGGAGTACGCATCTTCCCGGCGCTCCACCGACACACCGCATGGCTTTGCCTCTGACCGCCGCCTCGACACCCGATTTTGACCCGTTTTTCATAAAGAGGGTTTTCCGCCGTCGGCAGATCACCTTTTCGTCGATTTCCCAACGTTTGTTCGCTCTTCGCGGTATACAACGCGGTTTGGGACTCCTGATGATAAAGTGTGCACATTCATCACGTTTTCGCGCCTGAAGACCGAACGTGTCTTTCTTCTTACCATGCGCTGTCGGTGGAAATCAGGAAAACAGAAAACCAAGGGATGCCCAGCAACTTGGCAAGGAAAGCGTAGAACTTGAAGCACACGATTCGGCCGTTGAGAAACCGGAAAAAAGTGTAGTAGTCGCATCAGCGTTGCCAGCAGGTAGGTGTTTTTTGTCGAAGCATACTCATGAACATATTATGAACAACGTGTAACGTAATATATTTTATTTATTTTTGATAATTAGTACTTAGCAGGACACAACTGAAGAATTGCCCAATATTTGCACCCGAACAAAGTATTTCTAAAATTTTACATTTGCGAAATACTTCGTGATGTATACGAACGCTATTTTCCAAGTGGTGAACCGTCCCACAGCCTTTTGCTGCGCTCGGAGTTAAGCTGAAACGAAGTATAGAATGAAAATCAGGAATTGAGGGAGAGTTTCCTCCTTTCTGGTTATCGTCGGCATTTAAACAAAATAACCCATGTTTGACATAACCTGGGAACCTAAGAAAGGATTGAAAAGAAGGACACGTAAAAACAAGAACACACATCGTCTTCGACGTGTTATTCCTCTTTTCGCGCTTCATCTTTTTCCTTCCCCGTCTCAGGTTCATGCAGTCATGTCAAGTATTCACAAGCTCTCACTCGCGCTAGCTCTTCTCCGAGCCAAGTTCACCGAGTTCACCTTGAGTTCCACCATGGGAGCGGGGTAGCCGAGGTGTCCGACGTTGATCTCGTTCGGCGCCGGGGAACATACGATCCCGCAGGACTCGGACATGGCGTACAGGTTCCGCAGACAGCGCAGGTTCCCGAAGACGGAGCGGATCCCACTGGCCAGTGCCTCGCTCACCACGCTGCCGCCGACGTTGATCTTGCGGATAGAGTCAAGTCGAACTCCGCTGCGCTTCATCTCGTTTACGACATACTGGAGTCGGCCAGGAAAGCTGGCTATCGTCGTCACCTGCGGGATCGAGAAGGGATATCTATGCTGCAATGGCGACGTTCGTGACGCTCAATCCTCTGCGCCGAGGAGACCTTATGGCAAAACTTTTGTGCTGATTTTAACTGGGCAGCTATGTTCGACAAATGTTTCGTTTCTCTTAAAAAGAAACGGATATGACGGAACTGACGATATCGCGTCTGATTGGCTAGAGGTTCAAATGACGAAAGAGGGAACTTTCGTCATTTGAGCCTCTAGCCAATCAGACGCGATATCGCCAGTTCCGTCACATCCGTTTCTTTTTAGGAGAAACGAAATATTTGACGAACATAGCCCCCCTGGTCTGTATGCGGAGCGCGATGCGTCATGAGATATCTGGCGAAAAACAAAACAAACAAAAAATTCCCCTCAATTGTAACGTAGCAAGGCATGAGCTTCGCCGTCGGTGGCGTTGTCATCGTTGCGGTGGCGTCAATAGCGTCAACGCGTTACAGCAGAGCCGTTCGAAGTACCCGTGAGGCGGACGAGCGTTTCACGTGTGAGATCAGTCGTACGCGTCGTGTTGCGTGGCGCGTCAGGACGATTTCCCTGGGAACATAAACTTGAACGACACAAGTGAGGATGACGACACCGACACCGCCCTCTTTGTATTCATCTCGGAAAGCGAGCAGCAGGCGTCGGAACCCACGTCGGAAACGACGGACGTGCGAGCCGGATCCACAGGGCACGAAGTTTCTCGTCGCCCGGAAACTTGTTGATCGGAATATCGCTGTTGAGCAAGTCGTTGCCACAGTTCTCAGCCACGCGGAAGCGCGGCGGCATCTCGACGTTAAAAAGCGCAGAACGGCTTTGAACTCTACAACAAGGTCACAGGAACAACTCGGCGACATTCCTCAACGAGTCCTTTATGGCATTTTGTTAGCTTCCTTCACAAAGGGGCAAATGGGAACAAAGCGCACGGACAAAGGCTTCGTAATCGCGTTGAGGCGGAGGTAACTTCCAACAGCTCAACGCACTTCCCAATGGCGGCGCTGCTTCGATGTTTAGTGCGGCAACGTAACGCTTCCTGCTACGTCACGAGAACGTAGCGAAATTCCCAATGTTGCTAGATTACCACCCAACTCAGCTTCACGGGCATCCACCAGGAACTTATTGAAAGATCGTTTAATTAGGTTTTCTCGTGCCTTTCAACGAAAGACTGGTGTTTTTGAGATTATGATTCAACACGCAACAGATTTAAGCTAGAAAATTAGCGCTGGAATTTCGTTTCCGTACCCTTTTAAAGGCATGACTGAAGCTGTTTTGTATTTGAGGAAAAACACCTAAGGTGTCTTCACCTGGACTTCAGTATCACAAAAAATCGATTTTTAAAAAAAAATTAGTGCACGGAGGCTGCAGAAATTAATTTTTAAAGTGCCGCTAAAGCCCCTCCTTCTCTGGGCGTCGTGACATCAGATTAGGGGTTTTCGGAATCTCCACTCTCGCGCATTTTAACCGAACTGTTAGAGTTATGCACGCGCAATCTCGCTATTTCTTTCTTTTTTTTTTAAGAAGAAAAAAAAGGTAAAAGAAAGACGTTACTCGTGTGCGGAAGAATATACCTGGCAAGCTTGCAATTGCTCACGCTGCCCACACGAGCGACACGCGCTTGGCTGCCCAAAGATCCTAGTATGACGTCATGACTGGCTTGATGTTTCTCGTGTTTTCTCTCGTTTAGTGACATCTTCGGGGAAAACGAACGAGATATTCAGATTCACGGGATATAAATACGCCAAAATTCATCTCGAACTAGTATTTTTTTTTTCAAGAAGTGTTTCTTTTTTTTTTTTTTAAGGCGGTGTATTGGCCACCATATACAGGTGGCCAATTGCGAGGGATTGGTATATGGTAGCCATTAAAATAACGTTTATGAAAACTAACAATGAAAACTTACGAAGATACAAGCCATGTTTTATGTGGTGTGATTTGTTTTGCGTAGCCGGAGCATTATGCGTGATCGGTTTAGCCGGTACGTTGGCCACCGTAAAAGTAGCTGACAATATTCTAAAATAAATAGAATAAGAAACTAAATAAATTAAAACAAACAAAGTTTGCGCGCGTTTTTTTTTTTTTTTTTTGGTTCATACACACTATAGTGTTGCAGATGTTTTCAAAGGCACTTCAAAGAAAAAGAAAACTTGATGCAAGTTTACTACATTAAAACTGCGACTGGTACGACACAGATAAAAAAAAAAAAAGCTTGGAAACTTTTTTTTTGTCCCGACTGGATAGGGTTATTTTGAGAGCTCTTGCAGAAGAACGAGACTTGTGATTTCTTGTAGAATGGCGTGGGTTTGTATTCTATCGTCGAGACACGTTTCGTGGAAACACGTTTCATACCCAGCAGCTTTCTATGACCACACAGTTCATGGATACGGTATCGTCGGCACTGTGACGTTTCCTGGAAATTTGTTTTGTGAACCTCATCTTTTTTGACGTTTCATCGAAAAAATGTTTTTTTGCTATGGTGGTTGGATTGAATTATTGCCCTCATTTCGTTCATGCTTCCGGGCCAGCCAGCTCCGATAAAACAAATAACAAAATAAATAAATAAACAGCGAAAATGTCAAATAAATAAATAAAAAATAAAGCTTAGGGGACGCTAAAGCTTCGCCTTTAAAGGAGCACTGAAGACATATTTTTAAAAAGTTCGTTTTTGATCTTATATCGCTTAAAATGTTTTAGATACCACATATACCAAGTCCTATATATTACTAAGCTGCCTATTCTTCTCAGGGCAATGGAAAAACATCTGCACTCTTTCTTCTCGCGGACTACATTGTGTGGTTAAAAACTAAAACAGCGCAAGGACACGGACAAGAACAAGAAGGTAGACAAACAGTGCCTTGTTCGTCTACCTTCTTGTTCTTGTCCGTGTCCTTGCGCTGTTTTAATTTTTAATCATGAAATACCAACTAGCCCAAACTTCTATGTTAGTCAATTACATTGTGTGGACCAATGAAAGCCCTACAATACGCGCAGATTCTGGATGATTTTACCATAACTTCTTTCGAAGAGAGTTTGATAGGTACACATTCGGATAAGACTCCTCTTTTTTTCCGCGGGCGAAGCCATCGCTTGCAACTCGCCGACAAGCGCCCTTCGTCGACCACTTCACTCGGAAGAAAATTTTTCCCAAAAAAGGCGTGTCGCGATTTTTGAACACGCTTTTAACGAGGAAATGGGCTACGCACGATTGTGATTTCGGATTTGGTAGGATGTTTAGAGCGTCTAGACTGAGTTATCAACACAAAAAGACGATTGCAAAATCAACTTCAGTGCCCATTCAAAAAAAAAAAAACTTAAAATATTTTTTTTTCTTTTTTTTTTTTTTGCAGTCTGGATGGTACATGATTATAATACAAAGCGTTCGATCGCGTTGCATTCAAGCTTTCTTTTTTTCGAAACGGGTCCATTCAAACACGCGTTTCGAAAAATAAATTTTACACGAAAAAAAAAAAATTTAGAGCAATATTGACGGCGAGAGATTTATTTGAAATTTTGTGCGCAGTCCATGACGTCACGGGTCATTCCGGAATGACCATCTTGGTCGTTCCACCTCTCCTCTACGCGCCCGAAATGCTGAGAGAGAAAAAAAGAGGAAAGGAGGTGACTACCGACTAAATCACGTTTTGCGTCGTCAATATTGCTCTAAATATTTTGTTTCGCTTGTAATTTTTTTTTTTTTTTTGACACGCGTGTCCCAATTAGGCTTAAAGAGAAAACTTTTTTTTTCTTTTTAGGCTTTTAAGAGTGGAACGCGATAGCGCAGTCGTGAGCAGTTCGCAAAGCCTTTTCATATAAACCCGCACTCGTTCGCAAGGCGCGTCAGCGTGTGTGCGTGGTCTAGTCGGTAGCGTCACGTGTCACGTGACGTCACCCGTGTGACGTCAGCCGTGACGGCGTACGTGGGTGTAACATCGTGACCCTATCGACCCTCTAAATTTAGAGAAAAATGTTCCCGCCAAATTTACCGAAAATTTTCTGTCAAATCTAGCGCAAAAATTTAACCCTCGTGACGCCACACGTGACGTCACGTGTGAAATAACCAGGTGCATGCCAGAATTTTTCCGTCCCGCCGACGCCGAAGTTTCTGCGACACGAGCTCCTAAACGCTATCGCGTTAATAAATTAATAAATAAATTAAGAAACAGTAAAAACAAATAAATTAGTTAAAAAAAATCAAAGCCGTTTACAACTCCCTGTAATGCCGGATTAGAGCGTAGCTCTTCAGGAGGAGGAGGGGAAGGGTTCTGAGGGTCAGGTATATCCTTCCTTCCTCCTCCTCCTCCTCATCACGTGACCTCACGAGGGTCACGTGACCTCACGGGGGTCACGTGACCCCTATGAGGTCACGTGACGATGACGTCATCAGTGACGTCTCTGATGACGTCCTCAAGGACGATGACGATGACGTCATCAGTGACGATGACGTCATCAGTGACGATGACGTCACGGGTGACATCATCAGTGACGTCACGCGTCTCATAATGCACCGCGCGGTTACGCCGACGGCAACGCTGACGCCGCTCAAGCCGGAAACGGGCGCCTAAGAGCTGCGCTCTAAAAGTATTGTTAAAACAATTCGGGAGCTTCAATCTTAGGCTTTCGAAGGGACTGCGCTATGCGCGGTCACTCCTCGCTTTGTGCCGCTCCAAAATGAATATTGTTCCTGCGTGACCCTGTCATTAAGTTGCCCATCTAGTTTCAAGAAAAACATAGGACGAGGTGGCCGAGTGGTTAAGGCGATGGACTGCTAATCCATTGGGCTCTGCCCGCGTGGGTTCGAATCCCATCCTCGTCGTTAACTTTTTTTTTTATGTACAACATTCAGTGGTATCTCGCTAATTTGAACCCCCCGCCCCAGGTCTTCCATAATAACAAGACAAAAATGCATTTATCTTCTCTTTTTTTTTTCTTCTTCTTAGTCTGTTTTTTAAAGTGGTGTCCATATAGCTGGGTATCAATATTAACGGGGTCTATATTACCTTGACCAGTGGTTCTCAACCATCGACGTTTCGCGAACCCCTTGTGGATCGGTGGATATGATGGAAGACCCCGTTCGGGGTGAGGGGACAGAAAAGGTGCAGGTTAAATATATAGGGTGTTCAAGTCACCAGGCTCGATCTAAAATGGAGCGTAAAAATCGACGCCTGCACGTAACAATCTAAACTTCTCGTCAAAGGTGGAATTCACAGGTCGGTTTTTTCTTGTAAAATTACAAAGCGTAGCCCTCTGTCTGTAAAAAATAAGGCCCAGAAACTTGCCAGGGTCAACGGCGGGCTGCAACGTAGACGACAGGGGTCCAGTAGCCGGGTGTGTTTGGCGTTTGTATTGATAGATGGCGCTACCTCCTTATCGCGACGGCTCGCGACCACCGTGGTTTATTAAAATAAATATAATCTTTTTGAAAGGTACCTTCGGTTACAAAAATAAATGCGAGCAATAAAAAAAAAACTTAAAGTAGAAAAAAAAAAAACGGGTCTGCATAACGGCGGCGTTTTTGCTGCCAACGGATTTCGTCTGCGCGTCGTCTGCTATCTTTTGCTAGTCGGCTGAACCTTCAGACGCTGGTCCCAACGCCATCTATCGATACGAACGCCAAACACACCCGGCTACTGGACTCCCGTCGTCTGGGTCACCGCCCGCCGTAGACCCTGGCAAGTTTCTTGGCCCTATCTTTTTACTAAGAGAGATCTACGCTTTGTAATTTTACAAAAAAAAAAAAAAAACCGACCAGTGAAATACGCCTTTGAGGAAAAGTTTAGATGGCTACGTGCAGGCATCGATTTTTACGGTCAATTTTAGATCAAGCCTGGTGACTTGAACCACCCTATAACAATGGTATAAAAATCAATATAACGAAGGTCTAGCGTAAACTAGACTTCTCTTATTGACATACAAAAAAAAAAAAAAAAAAACTCGCTCAAAAGTTGAAAATGTTTTCTCGATCTGAAAAAAAGACGACTTTTATTGGCGGGTTTGACTGATAAGGCAGGGCTTCCCGGACCCCTGGAATGCCTTCGCGGACCCCAAAGGCTCCGCGGACCCCCATTTGAGAACCACTGACCTAGCCATTTGGTACTGCTACGTGAATTTGGGGGGAAAATGCTCCAAAATCCGTTGCTGCACCCTAATCATTGCGTATGAAACCAAAAACCCTGGAAAAATAACCCGTCGAATTCATGAAGATCCATTTAGAGAAAGTCTCCTGTGTCCTTTCAGAAAGGCATTCAATCGATCATTCCTCCCTCAGGCCATCAGCGACTGGAACAACCTCCCATCGTCCATTGTAACCATTGTGGATCCGATTAATTTTCTATCGTGTATTAAACTTCATTTATCGTCCTACTAGTGCTATGAGTTGTGTAACTTTGAGCAGACCTGAGTGTGTTGAGTGTGTTAAGTGTGTTTTAGTTTCCTTTTCTGTTTTTTCTTGTACTTGCGTTTCTCTGTTGTATAAAACTTGAATACCCCCCCCCCCTTTATGTAATGCCCTTCACGGGCCCTTAAGGTGTAAATAAATGAATGAATGAAATGAATGAAAGGGTTCATTGACTCTATTCCAACGGTCCCCGCTGCGAAGAGAAAAAAAAATCGTGTAGAAAATTTGTGGGCGATTGTGTAACACGTGGAACGTTCCGGTGTCGCTCCCGAACCTTACCGAGTCCGGCGCCTACGCTCACGTCGCTCTTCATCAGATAACACGTGGCATAGAAACTTGATAGCAGTTTCTGGAAGGAAAACACTGGCGCTAGTCGTGTTTTAAGGAAATACTTCAACGAAATTTGAGATATACCCGTTGTGTTCAAAAATAGATTGAATATGATCCACAATATCCGTAAATGACAACCGCACGCTTGCATTTTGAGCCTGATGGCTGTATTTTTTGTTATAAACGGCCAATTAAGCAAGCGCTCGGAGAACAGCCTGCAGAGACCACGTGACATCCAACGCAATCGTGACGTAGTTCGTCTCGGGACGAGCAAAGCTACGGCGAGTCTGACGTCGAGAGGATGCCCTAGTCGTTCCAGCCACCGAAGCGGCTGCTTTTCTAAAGTTGACGCTTGGGTGAGTTGGTACGACATATTTAAACGGTTAAAACAGCGCAAAAAACGACGGACTGGATGAAGGAGGACACAGACAGCGCTCTGCATGTGTCCTCCTTCATTTAGTCCGTCGTTTTTTTTTTTTTTCGCTGTTTTAACCTTTTAAGAACGGCTACTTTTGTACGAATTTCGGTTAATCTTCTATAATCTTAGCGGGACAATAGCGACTTCTGGGTCACGCAAAAGATATTCTCGGGAAGAGGAGAGTTCCTCCTTCCACTCTTCTCTCGTCGTGGCCGGAGGCGAGACAGTTACCGTCACTACCTCTCAAGGTTCCTAGACTGGTATTGCAAACGAGACGTTAGCGACATCCACCAGCTGCTCTTTGCTAATCGTCTAATTCGTTTTAAAATTCCTTTTCGTGACTTTTTTTAACAAGATATTGGTGTGTTCGGTGTAATACTGTTAATTTGAATACATATAGACCAAAACTAAGCGCCGAAATTTTGTTGTAGTATCCCTTTAAAGCCTGCTCGGTTTTTGAATGGACCCACCAATCAGCGGCCAATCAGCGTTGATCACATAACCTTTCCAACAATCAACCAGCGCCGAGCTTCGCAGTCGATTTTTTTAAGGTTCACTAAACCCTGCGACCCCCTCCCCCTCCCTATGACGAGCCAAAGAACGTTCCACATTGAAAGGCGTGCTCTCACGTTGTGCTCGTTGACCAGATCGACGAATTTTTCGAAGGACAAGGCGGGACTGGTAACCACGCAGGTGGATCCCGTGCAGGCTGCCATCATGGTGAAGAGAAAACCCGACGCGTGAGTGATGGGGTTCCAGGCCAGGAGGACGTCTGTGTCTTCGCTGCTCAGGCAGTTCCTGGATCGAGAGTTTCTGGTCGGTGGGGAATGCTCTCACCGACTCACTAAGGGATGTTTAACACATTTAAGTGTGAGTGTGATCGACTGCCGAACATCTTATCACTCTTCAAACAATAAGATTGCTTCATTAGCCAAGAAAGCACATTCGAACTGATCACGAAGCTTAACGGCGTCTCAGAAGCTCTCAGCGACTGCAGTGACTCGGAACGCGCCGCTCTATCATTGGTCTAGTCCTCGGCCAATATGAGAGCGCCTGTCCACTAGACGTCTGAACATGCTGATAGATGACCTGTCAACAGGGACACTTACTTGGACGTGTGCAGATGGGCGACGAAGCCGTAATGCGAGACCTCGACGCCCTTGGGGAGCCCCGTAGTGCCGGATGTGTAGCTGAGGACTACGATGGTGTTCTTCGGATCAGGTACCTCCACTTCTTCGTAGCTGTTCTCGTCCAGCCCGGAGAAACCGTGCACGGACTCGAATTCGGGTGCTTCGCCCATCAGGAACATTCGCTGCGCTTGCAGAGACGGCGTACATTTCAGTGATCACGTCAGATATCGGTTACAGCATAAGTTGGCGCACTGGGTTCCTTGAACTCGGAAGGTTTCTCGCATTATTCTCATGGGTCCTCCGAGTTCCCAAATTTACTCCACAGTCCCTGCCAATAAGTAAATTGTTCTTCGATTTTTTTTTTATTTACAGACATACCTGCTGCGCCGTTAGACATTATCCGCCATTATGAATTACGCAAACACGTATTCCAAGAACTCTTCAAAAGTGCAAGCAACAATCGATAAGTACTACTTTTTCACTCTATAATACTTTTCTGCAGTCCATCGCAAAAAACAACAACATCATTAACAATAACAGAAATCAGTTTCTCCGGAAATTCATTCGAAATAAGCGCTATTCGAATTGATCTGAGCCACTCGGTAATACCCCCCCCCCCCCCCCCCAATCACGAATCCAATCACTCCCTAGTAGGCACATTATTGTTTAACCCAGTTCCGCCGAAGGTTTCCTCTTTCAGCGACTTCATAACAATTATACCATTCCACCAGTACGGCTTGTTCATCTGCACATTTTCGATTTTTATTCCTTTAGAGACCACGTAAAATATTGAGATATCGCCCGTGATATTGCTTACAAGCAGGGATGGGCAAAATACATGCAAATATGTATCGAAATACAAATACAAAATACTTCGTCGAAAATGTATTTAATTACAAATCTAATTACATTTCCAAAAAAGCATTTAAGTACAAGATACAAATACAACCAAATGTATTTGGTCTCCTCCAAATATTTTTCCAAATACATTCCTCGAAATTTGCGTCAGCGACTTCAGGGTACCCGCAACGGGTTTCTGGGTATCTCATTTTAATTTTGCATCGCACACTCGGGAGTTAGTGTGCAAGGCTCTAGTAACGTAATAGAAATATAATTAAAAAAATGTAATCAGCTTGGACGTGAATAGGCGAAAAAAGTACAGAGCTTGAAGCAGCTTTTTTTGTCGATTACATTTTGGTATAGACCAACAAAGAACCGAGACGACCAAGACACACAGCACTAGCTAGAGAATTTTTTATTGCTGGAACTCGCACCAGTTACCCAAATCTGGACGACCCGCGCATTTAGAATGTTCCAGGCAAAAATATGGATGGAAATCAGGCTAGAAAGCATCACAAGTTGTCACAGTCACTTGTTTAGCCAGTCTGCCCGTGAACGTCGATTTCGTCACTAGCACCTTAATCACAAAGTCACTAAACGCTTGTGCTTGATTGAGAGACACTGCATTCTGTGCAGAACGTAGTTTTCTTCCTGCTCTGGACAATGCCTTTAAAATAAAGCCGGAGAAGAAAAAGAAAAAAGCCCTATGGCCGAATAAAGGATGGAGACTATATCTTACAACCACATGCATAAAAACAAGATGTATTTTCGCCCAGAAAATTGTATTTAATTACAATTTTATTTGAAATACCCACGTTTTAGTGTTTAAATACACACGTCAAATACATTAGCCAATTTGTAATTAAATACAAATGCAAAATACACAAAGTATTTGAAATACTGCCCACCCCTGCTTACAAGGTTTGCAGACTTCTTCACCGTTTTATTGCATCAATGCCAAGACTAGAAAGGGTTCTTCGGGTCCCATGCAAGGAATATATAGATTACTAGAGATCCAAAAGTTTGATAAACTCTGAGTCATACATGAAACTGGCATACCGCACCTTGGCAGACATTTAATAATTTTTGTTACGCTATAAGTGCTATCTAAAGAACGTATATAAAGAACGCGCGTAGGTTTTCTTTTCGATTGAGATCGGTGGGTTACTCAGCATTTAGGACGGGAGCTCGCGAGGTAGAATGTTTTAGCCCCCCCATATCGGGTTTGCACTCCGATAACGTTACCGGTTACTGCAGAAGAATCATTAGAGAGTTTTAGTAGATCGTGTTTTCAGGCCACGCTAATCGTAGCGGGAGCTCGGGCTGCCACTTCGATGCATGCTCTGAAGCGCGCGCAGGTAGCGGTAGCGGGCCTTTGAAAACGATCTACTAAAACTCCCTATTCTTGCAGCGAGCCACTGTTCACACGTATATCGGACCCACCTGAATTCCGTAAACGCACTACTAAAACTTGAACGAGGTCAGACAAACGTCGAAAAATAAAGTCTGCGATGTGACACTCTGCATATCATGTTACATGCTAATGAACTCTCGGTGTCACCACGCAGATCCCTAGTAAAAAAGGCCATATGTATGAGAAATGTATTGTGTCCAACAAACACATGAATCATACAAGATATATAAGAACATATAAGGACCATACAACAAGCTTATTAGAAACTTCTTGCGAGTTTCTTATATGTTCTTATATACCTTGCATGATTATATGTGCTAATTAGACACAGAAATTTCTCAGACAAATCAGATTTTTCAATAGGGATTTCACTTTTAGATTTAAAAAAAGTTACTTCTGTTTGGCCTCTATATGCGCCCACCTACATACGCAGATATTAGTCATTGGTTTTCCATAAGCAAATCACTGTCACATATGGGGTGGAGCTTAGCGGATGAAAACGTTTTCATACACAAAAAAAAGTCTGCAAGCTGACACGTCGCATGGCGTTTTAGATATCCAAGTCAGTGCTCAACATTACAGCTTTGACTTAAATTCTAGTTGAAAATGTTTCTTCTTTATGGCTGCTCATGCACCGACTGAGTTCACTCCTAAAATTGTATTGATTGGTTCTGCGAGTGCTCCGCGGGCAAATAGACACATTTGCACGCTTGAGAGTGTACGAACTACTGAACATTTTAACAAGAAAAACTGCTAAGCTCGAGGCTAACTTACCTTTAGTTTCAAGGTTGAGGGAAGTTTAAGAGCTTTTGGAGCATTTTGAGGGTCAGTAAGTATGTGAGATGCGTCACTGTCGTTCATTTGATAGTAAAGCTCCCCTGAAATAAAGCAGAAACAAAAATAAAACAAATCATTAGTCCTTTATTTTAGTTTGTCTATCAACGACTCAACAGGTCACTGTGTTGGTTAAACTGTCAACGACACAACTGAACGTTTCAGTTAAACTAGACGCCCACTTTATTATAAATGGAAAATAAAAAAAAAGAAAGAATGAGCTTAATACTTTCACTGTTTGGGCAGTTCATACCAAATATCTGTCGCTTATTTGTCACCTTTTTCGTCACAAAAAAAAACAAAGAAACAAAAAAACTTTACCATTGAGAGCAAGGCTCTCAATGGTAAAACTTCTTTTTTTTTTTTTTCACGATAAATATAATTGGGAGTCAGAACTCGGGTAAACGTGTTATGATTGTGGCAGTTCAGTTTGGTTGAACGCGTTAACAAAAATTTTGCAGCGAAAACCATGTCTTTCATTCTCAACTTTAAGTTCACGAATGAGTATGTTAAGAACCGTAGTGGGGAAGCCGTTTGAAAAGAAAAAAAGTACTCATATATCTATATATATATATATATATATATATATATATATATATATATATATATATATATATATATATATATATATATATATATAGCTGGCATCGGGTCTCTGTCATTACCGTCCGCATCTATAACGGTTTTGCACGGTGATGTTTATCCCTTTGGCCAAACTCCTTGAGCATTCCTGCTCAAGACACCATACAGACGTACCATTTGGATTTTGTTTGCTAGAAACTAGGCCATCCCCCAGTGATATCCTTTATGTCAGAATCTAAAATTGTTGCCAAAAATGCACGTCAAATTTTCTCAATGAACTTTAGCCCAAAAGTTCTAAACATTGTAATCACTCTCGAAACGTTATTGAGTCTACGTTCTTTTTTGAGATATAGTTGCTTAGTACGTTTTAATATGGAGGGATGAATTTCCTACGAAAAGATGAAGGTAAATGAGTGAACAAAGGACACTACAGCGGTGTCTTTGTCTACATTACTTTTATGTCTGGTAAAATTCCTTTGTCCAGATTAACAACGTTATTCAGGCCCAAGCTGTATTAAACAGTTTTCGTAGCAAACTTCGTGCGGCCATCTAGTTTTAGACGGCTTGACATCCAAATGTAGTCCAGCACGCGAAGATGTTCGCCAACCACGCCACGTCATGGCCGCTTTATGCATTCGGATATTTATCGAACGCAATGAAATTTGTCTAAATTTATTCGTCGCTGGGCGAAGTTTGATGGGGACAATCGCCTAATGTCTTTCGAACGACTCTCCGGGATGTCGCACAAGTGCATTACGCGCAAAATGACAGTGATAAATAAATACGACCTGAGCGGCCTACATGCAAAAGCAAGCTATGTACGCACACTCCTATCTTAGTTTCGCCGAGATGTGCTCTGCGACGTCCGATTGCTTTGCATGTTACTATGCGGAGCGCCAGTTCGTCTGCTTGTTTTGTAAGGGTTGTAGGGACGTCAGAAAGACGCCGAGCTCTTATTGGTTCTAATGTAAGGACAGTAGGTAGACGTCAAATTAAGCGGCCTTGAGGTCTATCCACCATCCTTCCAATCAAAGCCAATCATAGCTCGGCCTTTTGACGTCACCACGACCCTTGCAAACGAAGCAGACGAACTTGCGCTCCGCAGACATCGACAGGATGAAAACGTCAGGGCGTTTCTTTTCAATGCCCGGCCTCCAGTACGCGCTCGATGCTCTCCGTCGTGCTTTGGCGGTCACGTGATTTGAAGTCGAATATACATGCCGCCTGTGTTTATCGTTGACGCACCTTGGGGTTGACAAAGCACAGGGAAAAGACACTGACGTCTCCACATTGTTAAGGTTTGGCTTTTTCCGCCACCGCAGCGATTGGCTTGGACACGAACCACGACCCGAATGCATGTCGAGGCAAGATGATTGTCACGAGCCCAAATGGAATGCACACTAAGTGCTTTCCTTCAGTGTGTTGAGTCGCATTTAAATATCGTTACCGTGTGGATGGCAATTCTTGATATCGAAATCTTGGAGGATCGCATTGTTGACAACATGAACAATCCGATCCCCACAACGTCGTCATCAAGCTTTACGAGAAAAGAACTGAAAGAAAACGTCCGCTTTTATACGTGAAATTACGGGGCGACAAAGAAGAGTCTTGGTCAGTATAGCGTTGCGTGCGAGTATAACTATGTAGCACTAGAGTCAGTAAGCTTGTGTAAAGTGAAAAACATTCCAACCCAAAATCGATGGACGTCGCCTTTATTAACCTTGAGTGCAAGTATTTGCGACACGCACAAACCGATGGCTTTCCGAAAGCCTCTCTTCATGTAAGGGACTCTAAACATGTATTTCTATTGTTTCTACGGATTTTGGCATCGCTTTGGAAACCACAATGTCAACCCTCCTCTTGGACTTCCAGGTGATGCTGACAGCTGCATACGCCACAATGTCCCCCGGTCATCTTCATGGAGGTCACCTGGACTGCGACGGCCTTTGGATCGTCACGCCAAGGGACTCGACTACTTTCCCGGTGGTACCAACGACCGAGCCACCAAACTTGGACGACAACGGGTATGATGTCTGGCGACCGGGGACGTCGACAAACGGCTGTACGAACGCATGGCTACTTAAGCTCGCCAGTCAGCGGGGCCAGTCTGGGCACGGCATCGGATTAGAAATAACGATGTCAACCCTTCTCTTCGTAGTTCAGGTTTCTTACGTTCCCAAATCTCACTGCTACCAGAATAGTGACATCTGTTTGATCGCAATTTCGCGCCCCTACAACGTTCTCGAGTGTCGCCGCCATCTATTTGTGTTCTTGGCGCAGAGTGCTCATGCTGTTTACCTAGCGTTACTAACTCTGAAAATGTCTGAGTACATTGAAACCAAGCCCGGTATAGAGACAGTGAGGAATCTCAGCTGGCCGACATTCTGACCATCGTAACTAGAATTGAGAGGGGCCAAAGTCGCATGCTTGCCTAAATTAAGAAGCTTCAGGACGCCCAATCAACAATGGTTGTGACAATAAAGAGCCTTAGAAAAAGAGTAGCGGCAATATGAGCCGACCTGAACTTTATGAGGATGTCTTCAGAAAGGAGGGCAAGCAACTCGGATGTTTCCAACAAAGTTGCACCGGACATATATCGAAAGTTAACGCGAGGTGCGATGACGCCGAAAACATTCCGAAGATCGCACTTGTCGTTCTTCAGTGTTACTGTCGAGCAAACTGAGACTTGAGGCCCCAAACTCCTCAAACATAAAGTTGGAGCCTAAAGTGTGCGCAGCGCGCCAATTGGACGCTGGCGACAAAAGCGCGAAGTCATCGTCGTGATAGTGCAATCGGCGCTCTCCGTGAACTTCGGCCCAACTTTGTGCTTGACGAGTTTAGAGCCCTTGGAGTCGATCGGAGGTAAGCATTTCGAGTTTTTGTGAACGACAGCTGGAAATTAAGGTTGACCCGAACGACGTCGTGCGGTCAGATAGGATAAAATCGACCTATCATTTTCAAATTCCTGTACTACAAAAATCGACCAAACATCCTGTCTTCGTGCTCTAAACTAAAGGATTCTGAGTATGCCGTAAGGGAAGACTTATCAAAGTCTGTCCGCTTCGCTCAAAATAAACTGTTTTTGTTCGTTGGATCGCAGGATGGAACGTTCAAAATCCGCTCTAATGAGCTGAACATCAATAATAAGTGCTATAAATGACATTTCTTCCGATTCTTTTATTGAAGTCTCGATAGCGGAAAATTCCTACGTCCCTCCCCATCGCCCAGCCGTGCACGCTAAGTAGTTAAAATGGTCGAACTACATTGTTACATTTACTAATATACGCAGCGTCATGCCTAAGCGGGATGTACTAAGTGAATTCATGTGTGATAACTCTAGATTGTCATTCTAACGAAATCCTGGCTGAAACCCAAAATGAACGACAGCGAAATTTTTCCTCGTGAATTGCAGTCGGACGTTAATCGATGTGATGGGCCTCAGCAACGAGGAGGGGGAGTGCTTATTGCGATAAAAAAATGTGTCTACTATTTTGTGTTCGAGCCTCCCTTGAGCTAGAGGCTGTGTTCGCTTGCGTTACGTCGGTATATAGGCAAACGATAATCGGCGCATCTTATCGGGCGCCAAATCGGGGTTCTGATCATTGTGGAAATCCGTACTCTGTTCTGCTCTAAATCCAGGGCCTTTACCCGAAAGCGCATTTTGTGATGTTTGGTTACTTTAATTTTTCGAACATTGACTAGGTTAATTGTATCACAAGTGGTTCGGATGACGTTAAATAATTTGTCGATGACTGCTTGAACTTTAACCTCAGTCACGTAGTTGATAGGCCCACTCGTGGTGTTAATATTCTTGATCTTGTCCTCATTAGCTCTCCAGAAGTTATAGCAAATGTTAACTGTGTTGCTGGTTTAAGTGACCGCAATACCCTGCTTACTGGGTCATCTGTTCCTGCCCTCACGCGGATCCCCACATTCAAAACAATCCGCGATTACAGCAAAGCTGATTACGTGGCAATACATCAGCACTTATCTGTGTCTTACCAAACCTATAGCTAAAAACTTCATGTTAAGGGCGGTAAAAGAAAACTGGCTACTTTTTTAAAAACAAATTAAACAGTCATACTGAGCAGTTTGTATCTGCTCCCGTTATACGGAGCGACGAAAATAACCCCTGGTACAGTAAAACCTTGCGTTTATGGAATAACAAAAGGAAGCGAATATATAAAAGAGCAAAACGGTTAAACGTTAATTCAGTTCGGAATAAATAGTTTGTGTGCCTCAAAACTTATACGAAAAGTATCAGATTGTCAAAGCAAAAACTCTTCTCTTTGGACCTACCAAGACTTCTACGTATTAATCCCGATAAGCTCTGAATAATATTTTCGCCAAGAGATATCACTCATTCGATACGACTTCAGGATAAAAATTGAATCGCTGTTTCTGAACTTCATAGCGCTTCCGCATTAGATAATTATTTTTATTCTGTGTTTGCCAGGGAATATATCCATGAAGTGTAATATTTGCCCTTGTCTTATTTCGTACATATGGCTCCCATTGACATTTCTGCCGATGGAATACTTCACTTCATTGAAGGATTAAAACTTGCGTCATTCTCTGGTCCTGATAATATTAACCCGAAATTTCTTGGAAACACAAAAGTTAAACCTAGTGAGCGTCTTAAGTTGATTTCTCCTCAGTCATTGCAGCAAGTTTGTTTACCATTGGATTGCAACCTGGGCAAGGTCGGTCCAGGCTTTAGAAATGGCGATCGGAAGCTATCCTTGAATTACCGTACCATGTCATTAACTTGCATTGCACCCAAACGTCTTAAGCACGTCATATTTTTCAAGTTATTTCACACTTGCAGAAACACTACCGTATTTTCCGGATTATAGTCCGCGGACTATACATGTTTAAAAGTTGAAATTTCTGGCTGTGCAGACTATCTACGCGTGCGGACTCTACGGGAATTTTGTTTCTCAAGATCGTTCATTGTGACGAGACGTGACCGAATTTGTGAATAAAAGGGTATGTTAATGATGATTTATGTATAATACAAGCTTGTTTGTGAGCTAAGAGAGCAGACATTTGTCAAGGTGGGCCGTGTATGAGAAGATTTCCTCGTCGACTAAGCACCAGGTGCGGACTATGCACGGCATGCGGGCTTTGCACCGGGTGCAGACCATCTAAGCAAACACTTTTCTTTTCGGCCTAAATTTGCCCCTGCATGCGGACTATACACCGGGTGCGGACTATAGCCCGGAAAATACGGTACTTTCTACAGTCACCAGCAGGGTTTTTGAATAGGATTTCCATGCGAAATGCAACTTTTAGAGTTTACTCGTGAACTTTTCACTAACGTATAGACTCACTAAGCCAGACCGATGCTTCGTTCCTTGATTCCTCGAAGTCTTTTGACAGGGTTCCTCATCACCACCTAACCAATAAACTTTCTTGTCTTGGCCCCTCTTGTTGTCTCCGGGATACGCGACTTTCTTTTTTCTCGTACGCAGTTCACTGTGGCTAACAGCCACAAATCAAACTGTAATGGCGTAACTTCCGGGGTTCCACAGGGATCCGTGCTTGGGCCATTGACTAACTCAATTGTTCCTAGCATCCGTCTCTTCGCGGATGACTGTGTTCTATATCGCAATATTAATTCTCGTAATGACCATCTTCAGCTCCAAAGTGATTTAAATATGATATACGCCTGGTGCTCCAAGTGGCTCATGTTGTTAAATATGTCAAAATACAAAATGATTCGTCTCCCCCGTGAAAAGATGAGTAGCTTTTCGTATTTTATTGCCTCTGAGCCAGTTGACTGTGCCCTTCTTATAAATATCTCGGCGCAGAACTACCAAGTGATCTAACCTGGAATGACCCCATTGTAACTAGTACGGCAGAAGCTTCTCGCACTCTTTGGTACATCAAACAAAACCTAAAAGCAGCACCCTCTCACCTAAGAAAACTGGCATACGAAGCATATGTTCCACCGAAATTGGAATATGCATCAGCCATTTGGAGCCCACATCCATTTCATCTCATCAGTCATCTTGAGTCCATTCAGAATCATGCTGTAAGATTTATCCTCAATGACTACTACCCAACAGCTAGTGATTCCTCTCTTGAACCAGCTGGATATTCAAACTCTCAAAGGTCGTCGTAAAATAACACGTTTAAATTTATTTAATACGGTTTACCATTCTCATCCAATACTCCATTCTTCACTACTTCTTGCTCCTAGCAGATCATCGTCACGTCTAAACCACTCATGCCATGTGTCGCGGATCACCGCGGTCGAACTAATTATGCTTTAACCGATTTTCTTTTTTTCCGCAGAAAATCATAGACTGGAACGACCTGCCATCTGATATAAATCAATTGATGACCTCACCTTGTTTCATAAGGCTATAATATCCCATCTTTGCTAATAGCTAAAATATTTGTATTTAATCCTTTCATATTCTTTCGCAATTGTTTATTGTTTAATGCAGCACTGTTAGCTGCAGCACCTAATGTTATTACGTTTCATTATTTTTTTAGTTTATCTCCCTGCCCGTTTATGTAATGCCCTTGAGAAGGGGCCCTTAAGGGTACAATATATGAATGAATGAATGTTGCAAAAGCCTGCGAAGTCATGACTCACGACTCACGACTCACGAGCAATCACCAGTGTGAGGACTCACTCTCAGTGAGCGACGGTTTGGCCAGGACGAGCGTTGCCCCCGCGAACACCAGGCCGAACATGGCGACCAGGTTTTCCACGCTGTTGCTCAGGTGCACGCAGACTCGATCTCCAAGTTTGACGCCACGGGCTTGGAATCCCGCCGCGTAGCGTTTCATCATCACGAAGAACTCGGCTCGAGTCAGACTCCTGCAGCTGTCGATCTGTTGTTGGAGAAAAATGTAGCGCAAATTTCAAACCTGGACTAGATTAGATTGTTACATATTAGCAATTCCCTTTGTACACTCTAAAAAAAGCCCGTGCGTCTACTTTGCCGCGCAACACTCGGAGAGCCAATCATCGCAACTTACGAAGACAGCTCAGCGAATGACGACGCCGAATCATATGTCTAGACCAAAAAACGCAGTTTGAGTTGTGACATTAAGCAATGCAAGCGTGACGTTTTGCATTGCTTAATGTCACAACTCAGACTGCGTTTTTTCTTTTTTTTGGTCTAAACACATTTTTCCGCATCGTCATTCGCTGAGCTGCCTCCGAAGTTGCGGTGATTGGCTCTCCGAGTGTTGTGCGGGAAAGTAGACGCACGGGCTTTTTTTAGAGTGTATCGGGAGAACAGTGTTATACGCTCTGCTCCGCCAAAAGTACCTATTCGCGGCGAAATGTTTGGGTACCGCTACCTGGTGGAATTTTTTCGCAACCCAGAGTGAGGATACTTCAACTTGCTCTGCTTGTGCCAGCACGTAAAATGTCAAACATCTATGCCCTATAAATATTAAAACACAACCGTGTGGTTTGCACGTGCACTACCGATAGTGAGAAAAGCAGGAGCGCCCCTAGCAAGCTCCTCACCGTGAAAACATTAGCACAATGTTTACAATCAAGCCCGCATTTGCCCACACCAGATTCGCGAGAGATCACCGCAGTGGCGTGACGCCACCCTTACAAAAATTAATCAACGAGTTTCAATTGAGTTTCTAACGTATTCTTAAAGAATACATTAGAACTGGATAACTGTTCAGAATAACAGCAGATCTTTAGAGTAACTGTTTATAGTACACTGTCTATGCTGCACAAGCGGAGCATATAATCAGTTACGCTATTCCTATTGTCCGAAGAAGCATTCTCGGGGTGCCACTGCTGCTGATTGTAGGGAGGGGGGGCGAGGACTCGTCAAGCTGCATTTATGCAGCTTTTTTCCTCGGTCTCTTTCCATCATGAATGTGATGGAGAAATAAACATTTATTTATTATTTATTTATTAAATCGGCAACACTGAGCAGAGAACTTGCTAAATCCGCCCATGACGACAGGCATTGACACTAACGAGGAATACAGTGCGATATGATCGAAGCACTCCTCACGAGGTTTTAACAAAGAGCGGCGTATATTTTCTTGAACGGTGTTTAGATACAATTATCAATAACGCTTGACAAAAAAAAAAAAGAAAAGATGCCGGCAGGATCAGATGTATGTACGCTGCTGCTGTTTCGACACATCGCGTTTTCGGCACAATTAAGTTCGCCAAATAAATCTCTATTTTCAGTTTACGTTTGTCGAAACTTTTCTATCCGCGACATTTCTGGTGGAGGTGCGGGATAAAGGGGAAAGCGTTCCTTCCCAGTCATAAGCGCGGCAATATATATATATTATATGTATATGGTTACGGACAGTTGGTTTACCACTGAAATGTGCGTTGAAGAACTGTCCTGTCAGAAACCCTTGAAGCGTGTGCAGGCCTGCACTTTGACCTTGATGCTCTTCACGTCGCCGTCGTACGTGATTCGACTTTACAGTGTTTTCACCCTCTAAGTTTAAAATATTGCGAAAGCGAGCTCCACGGGAAGGCGTTCGCGCGCTCGCGCACTTCGAGCGTCGATGAAAGCTGTGTACGGGCACTCTTCGCTTCCGAAATCCCACAGAAAGTAGACCCCGAGAATAGAAGTTTTGTCGATCGTCACGAACTTCATTCAACTCCTTCGGAAAGAACCACTGAACCCGCGAAGCTATCGTGTCGTCTGCTAGCAAGGCAAACAGGTTGCGAAACTTTATTATGGGCTTTTGTCATCGGTGTATGGTACCGAGACGATAGAAAAAGTACTCCTGATTAGATATTCAGAAAACACAAAAAAGCTTACAAAAATATTTACTTTTTTTATCAGACAATTTCTGACCTTACGTCGAGCCCCAATACATTTGTTTATAACAATGGCCCTAGCAACGGTTTGTCTAGAACGGAACGCCATGTTATGACGTCATCACTTACGGATTTAATCGTAACTTCGCGAAATAAATTTAATTGGGGCTAATATTGGGCTATTTCAGCGATGTGGCTTTTTGTTTACGAAATTTTTCAGACAAACGGGGAACATGAAGAAAACACCGGAGTACCCCTATAGACGTTTGCAAGTACGGCCACTGGGCACCGCCATCTTGTTTCTGGTGTGGGTAGATCGTCTGATAGTCAAGCACTGCAGAGGCATACCCACGGCCTCAGCAATGCTTGACTATCAGTCGATCTACGAACACCAGTATCAAGATGGCGGCGCCCAGAGGACAGTTGGGTCTCTTGGTGTCACGTGGTCGGCACGTGGATGGCAGTGACCGGCACGCTGATCGAGAGACGTACGTGGCGTACGTCGCTCGATCAGCTTGGAAAGAGGGGGGAAGGATGTCCACAGAACGAGCTCCGTCGTTTCCCGTCTCGTCAGTCCGAACGGTTTTTCGTCGCAGTTTTCCTCGTTTGATGCGGGGCTGCGGGATCCGCTTTGGATTCGCGGTGCTGCAGCACTGCGCCTAATCCGCTCTGAAGTCACAAGTCAGGGGAACCCGATAAAGAAATGTCGAAGTGCTTCTGTTTAGTTGGCTGCATTCATTCTCTGCGGTTTTAGAAAGTGGTTTTAGTTTGAGCGCGTTCTCAAGCTTGTGGAGCGCGCGCCATGCTGTATTCCTTATGGTATCGTGCCTGCTGATTGTGTTATGTAGCACAAATACGTAAGATTCGATCGGATGTGGTTACCCCACGAAAGCGAGCGAAACGCCAATTCTACAGGGTGTCACAAAAGAAAATTTACACGGTCTTTTTTACCGCAAAAATAAACTAGGCATCGCCGAACGCTCATTCTCCGCCCAAATGTAGCGCTAGAGGTCACAACCAGATGCCAAAGTTTCAGCTCGATCCGATAACTTAATCAAAAGTTATAAGTGATTTTCTGAAAATTTCAATGGAAAAATGGCGGCCGACGGAGTTCTCAAACACATGGGGCTCTATATCACCAGAAACCGAAAACGAGCAAAATTGGGCTCCATTTTCCCATTGAAATTTTCAGAAAATCACTTATAACTTTTGATTAAGTTATCGGATCGGGCTGAAACTTTGGCATCTGGTTGTGACCTCTAGCTCTACCTTTGGGCGGAGAATGAGCGTTCGGCGATGCCTAGTTTATTTTTGCGGTAGAAAAGACCGTGTAAATTTTCTTTTGTGACACCCTGTACTAATGTTTTTCTTTTTTTGTGTGTGTGTGTTGGTGTTGCAGATCCTGGCAGGGGCCGCTTGATAATAATATAGACTTTTATTCGACCGTACACTAGACTTACGCGTTGCTAGCGGGAGCTCGTATCGTAAATTGGAAGCACAGATCGAACACGTGCCCTCTGGGTCCGTAATCCGCAGCATACGATCTACTAAAACTTTCTAGTGTTGCGCTGGTCCGCTACGAATAGATCGCTTATTTTATGTGAACCGTTTCAGCCACAAAACGCAGCCTAGTTGTTATTTTATTATGAGCGGTGTTACGTTTCATTCGTCTGTCCAGCGATTCGGTATTTCACACTGCCAGTGTTACTAATAATTCAAATCTCTCGGAAACAGGCAGAAAGCTCTCTGTGCCCCAGTACACGGTACAATTGGGCCACGACCAGTGTACCTTCGGAATTCGGTATTAGCGTGAATTCTGTCGCTTAGAAAATTCTACTTCGGTCATCCTTGAATGTGATGCGTATCTACGACGCAATAAAGCTACGTTTGACTTGAACTGCAGCATTTTGTTTCAGAGATTGCAGTACACTTGGCAACCATGCAGTAGACGACGCGAGGCTGGTTTCTCCAGTTGTGCCCAATTTGTGGGCTAGAACTTTAAGTCGAAGAGGACTAACAGGAAGGGTTCAAAATTGAGTGTCTCGGGACCAAATCTAGAAGATTAGCCTTTAGTCCCAAAGATCCAAATAGAAAGGATTAACTCTTAGTCCCAGGGGTCTAAATGCAAGGGACCAACATTTACTCCCAGGGCCGGGTCTTAATGTAAGGGCGCAAAGGTTAGCCTTGTGGGTCCAACTTTGAGGGACTACCGGGAAGGGAGCAAAAGTTGCTCTCGTCCCCGTTAGTCCCACAGGGGACTAATTCTATTAGCAGAGCATTTGGTCCCAGGAGGAACTACATACCGCTCTCCTTTTTCTTAGAATGTGTGACAAAGCATCGTAGGAGTGGCATTAATTGTAAATAAAACGCATGAAGTTCTCTCAAAGTCGCGACCGGTGCCGCCAAATCCTTACGACCAAATGTTCCAAAAATTAAAAAGTAAATAAAAACGAAACAAAAGACGGTTTAACATTTCGACAAAAACCCCGAGACTGGGACAAAAAGGGACGGACAAACACAAAGTCTCAAACACAGCTGAATTTTATTTAAAATTTAAAATAAAATTCAGCGGTGTTTGAGACTTTGTGTTTGTCCGTCCCTTTTTGTCCCAGTCTCGGGGTTTTTGTCGAAATGTTTATCCACCACCAGCTCGTTTGCGCCCTTACCTTTTGTTCACTAAGACGGTTTAAGCTTTTACAAAATTGCTTAAAGCCATTAATATATATATTATTTTAATTTATACGCGCCGAAAAACTGAGGGAGAGGAGGTGACGAGAGCGCACAGGGGCGACAGAACGCCGAGCTCTGGTTGGAACGATTAGTGGCCTAAACCTATACACCAACTCAACTCTCATACGTCACGCCGCGGTGGTGGCGCGCCGGACGCACTTCCTGTCTGGGGCGGTGGGCAGAAGTCGCCGTGCGAGACATGCATTCCTGTGTTCCTTTGGAAGAAACGAGACAAAAAACCTGCCTTCTCGTCAAAATGCTGCGATGGGGGCTTTACCAAGAGAATCTGGAAAGGTTTGAAGATCAGTTTTCATGTGTTTCTGCCCCCTCCGTTCGTCCGAGAACGTGGATAGCAGCCGTGAAAAGGGCAAACCAGACGCTGTCGAACTACGATTGCGAGTGCGGGCCACAATTTGTGGTCACCATATGTATTTGCTTTGTTCCAACATGAACGAGAGAAAACCCCCAAGTTGTCCGGACCACCCACGGATTCAGTGCGTCTTCAAATTCACACGGCCGCCTGATCGTTCGAACTTTCGTCTGCTCTTTCAAAGTTGTCTGCTTTTTGTCGTCTACTCGTTCAAACAAAAGCGGCCCGTAGACCAAACTTTGACCCGGTGATTGCAATAAGAAGTAATAGCGGGCCTCAAAAGACTTAAGTAGGCTCGGTGTAAACAGTAGATACAAGATGTTAATTATTGGTACCGGTGGCCATCACCTACTTGTTACGCTTGGTCTGTTCCCGCTTCCGATTTTCAGTATCGACGTCGATCATCGCCGCTACCTTTTTGCACTTTTGCAGCACGAGCGACGTCGCGACCGAAAATAGCTACAAGAATCTCATCATGGTTTTGGCGTCCATTCTGCAGCGTTCATGCGAATGAATCGCCGCACGTCAAATTATTTACGGAAAGTTTAGTGGCGTAACGAGCCTTTATAATTTCGCTCGGGCGATTGAAGTGGGAAGACATTGCGATGAGGACGTAGAATCGACGACTCCAACGCGAAAAAGAGTATGCAGACTCACACAGACGCCGACAACGTGACACTCGAATCGTTTGTTTACACGGGACGCGGTGCTTCTTGCCCGTACTCCATTGCGCGTGCGTTCGAACTGTCGTCTGCTCTTTCAAATTTGGCTGCTTTTTGTCGTCAGTTCGTTCAAACGACAGCGGCCCGTAAACCAAACGTTAACCCGGTAATTGCGATAAGAACTAAGTGCAGGCCTCAAAGCACTTTTGAAGGTTGGTTGGGGTAAGTCGGCTAAGTGTAAACAGATACAATGAGTTGTTGATCATTGTTACCAGTGGCCATCACCGACTTGTAATTCCCGATTCTACTTGCGGTTTTTTTAGTATCGATGACCACCATCTCAGCTACGGTCCACGCTTTTGCAGTCCGAGCGACGTCGCGACTGTAAATATCGAGCAGAATCTCATCGTGGGAGTCAGGCTTTAGCGCCCATTCTGCGGCGTCCACGTGAAATGAATCGCCGCACGTCACATTATTCACGCAAAGTTTTGCCTCGTTAGTTTTGCTGAAGCCGCTCAAGTAGTCGGACATTGTTAGGAGGACGTAGAATCAACAATTCCAACGCGAAAAAGAGCACGGGGACTCCCACCGACGCCGACAACAACGCAATTCAATGGTTTGTTTATGGGCGACGGCGGGCTTCTTGCCCACCATCCACCGCGCATGCGCGGCGCCGGTGGCGTCCGCTAGGGGCGCTCCGGTTTGTTTGTAAACATGAGTTACGAAGAGCGAGTTGGGGCGGGTCAATATTAAAGGCCGCTGTACAAACGGGACGTTCTGCAGGGAAGAACCTTCTCTCCCGAAGCTGGAGACGGGGGGGGGGGGGGGGGGGGGGGAAGGGCCAGCGTTGGGTGGAAAGGGCGTCTAGAGAATGGGATTAGCCTCGGGGCGAGCCATCCTCTCGAGAGGGAGTGGTGACGGAATAAAGGTGCCGTGGGAATTCCGGCTACCAGGTGGAAGATAAGCTTGTCAAACGGCGACCTCGGATGCGAGGACGGGCACGTCAGAGAATTTGAAAATAGCTGCTTGATTAGCCGGAGGACCCAGTGCGGTCTACTGGCTCTAGAAGGTGACTCGGATGAAGAAAAGCCGTTTTTTCTCCAAAACTCTAAAAGCATTCTGGAACGTGAACTCTTGCCACAAATAAAAATAACACATACATGAAAAACTACGAAGGCATCTAAGCTTTCTCCTATGATGTGAGAATGCGTGAGCATTACAGGCAGAGTTATGTTGGCGAAACTTGCAATAAAGAAAGAAAAAAAAGTTATGTTGGCGCGACTAGGCGCAACGAATAGCGCGCTAGTTTCGCGATCAAGAGGGCCTAGCTTTGAAACCGGGCAGGGGATGGTTTTTTTCTCGTGTTCTTTTTTTATTTCGTTTATTTTTTTTTGTTCGGTCACGTGACAATAAAATTCTCATGAACATTATTTTTTTTGGCCACGTCACCAGAGATTTTTTTTTCTTATTTCTCCTTTTCTTCTGTCTTTTTTTTTTTTTCCTTTTTTTTTCGGTTTACGCTTTCTTTAGCAAAACTCTTTGCACCTATTTCGCGTTACTTTGGCGTTAGCCAAATCATTTTATTTATGGCAGGGAATTCTGCCGTGCGTATCTTATGTTACTATTACCAATCCTGGCTTGCAATACGCATAGAGAATTTCATCCGGCAACCAGTTTGGGAATGACGAGGCCAAATTTGTGTTACAATTTTTTTTAGGTACAAGCATAATTTCGGCCTCGTTATCCGTCGGTCTCTATGATCTCTTGGGAAGGCAGACGACTGGCGTTTTTAGAGTGCACGTGAGTCGACCAGAGTGAACATTGCTGAAGCGCCTCCAGTGTGATTTTGGCCGTAAATAACTGGAGGCCCCGGGCAAACCCACCCAATGTAGAAAAGTATCTACCTTTCTGGTTTCATAGAGAGCTATGAAAGGGACGAATCCCAGCCGAGTCAAACTACCGGCTTGCAAACGTAATCGTGTTGACAATAGCTCCAAGGAGTTTGTATGACTCTCTCTAACGGTGTGCAGAGGGTAAAGGCACGGAGGTAATACATGATTTCGCCTAGTCACCTCGCAAGCGGTTGGGTATTGGCTGCAGAGATCCATTTTGCTTTTGTTTTATCACAGGGATTATAGCTTGATTTCTGTGTTCCTAATTTCACAGACAGAACGAAATCGCTTTTCTCGTGTGGCGTCACGGCGGTGAGACAGAAATCAATCAGTGTACTGGAATTCGACGCTTGTGCTCGTTCTATAGCGCTTCTAAAAACCGTGCGATCACGGCTGTGCAACGTCAACAATGCATAAACTGCAGTTACTTGTACTCGTATTGCATCGTGAGGGAACGACTATGACTGGGTAAACAGGAATAGGGAGAATGGGTGCGTGTGATTTGTTGAAGTTCGAATCAACAAATCAAGCTTCAACGAATGTGATAGTATTGCATTCACTCAACCAGCTATATGAGTTTTCAGATGGTATATACCTTCCAAGTATGCGATTCGTGTTCTGCCAGTGGTACCTCAGCTAAATTAAAAAGCAAAATCCACGTTGAAAAAAAAAAAAAAAGTTTACGCTGATTCGAGCCGCGCCGAATCATGTTTCACGTAAGCGTAATCTTGGGGTCGATGCACGACGAGAGGTCTTCAATCATAAAAATAGTTTGATTACGATTATTGGCAACGCTAAAAATTTGAAAGCCAAGCAGTGAAGACAACGGTGTTCTTATAAATATTATATACATTTTATTTTACACTGTTTGAATACGCTGCCGTCGTTATGTTCTTCAGTTATTGGCTAGCTTGTGGCGGACAGGGAAGTCTTGCAGGACCATATAATAGGACCTACACTAAACCTGCCGCGCTTCGAAAAATGTTAGTCCAATGCATACAAGCCGTTCAAGGCGGACGGAGCGTTGCGCATCCGGCAAAGCGCATTCAACCCCTGCCCGCGGCGTTTTTTTTTTTCGAGCAGCGAAAAAATTTTTAGTCAAGCAGCAGGGCCCCTCTTCGGCGGGTTAGGCCGCATTAACGGAGGCGTCTCCTAATCCATTCTCCGTGTTGTCCCCTCGGGGGAGGGCGGTAAACAGGTGGGAGAGGGCGGTGAAGGAAGGAAAGGAGGGCAGGAGAGGAGGAAACGCAGAAAAAGTGGAAAGCGCGAACTGTACGGCGGCCTTTAAATAAAAAAAAAACAACATATAAGCTTTGAAAGACGTGGTTGTGCTGTCTCTGTCTTACATGTTTATTCTTTCTTTGATCTTGACCTAAACCTATAGCTGCTTTTGACTCCTCTGCACTCGTCGAACGCATTAGAACTCGAAACGCCGGCGTCCGACGTTTGGCTATCGCCTTCGAATTTGTTCGACGATAACGGTGGAGATAGAGGCAGTATTTGCTTCCATTGCACTCGTCGAAGACGTTAGAATGCGCGACACCGGCGTCAGGCGTTTGACTCTCGCAATCGAACGCGTCCGACAAGTGCATGCACTGGAGACAAAGACGGATGGAAAGTCGTCTGCTTCCTGCGCAAGAGTTGCGGTGACGTCAGAACGACGATTGGCTTTGATTGGAAGGATATATGGGTAGACCTCCATTGAGGTCTACCCACTATCCTTCCAGTCCAGGTCTACAGACTATCAAATAGTGTGTAGACCTGGAGGTATGCCTCCAGGTCTACACACTATTTTTTTTTTTCCAATCAGCCAATGCGAGTTTGGCGTTCTGACATCATCGCAACACCTGTGCAAGAAGCAGACGAACTTGCGCTTTAATAGCTTTAGGACTTCTCAATAATCATTCCAACCAGAGTTCGGCGTTCTGGTGTCTCCCGTATTCTCCACTCTCTCAGTTTCTCGGCGCATTTGAAGAGACATTTACCCGTTCTGCACGTCTGCTAACCACGGCAGGTTGAGTTGGGGTTCGACAACCAGTAAAACAATAAGGTTCCATCCCCTACGCGCTGTTTTCATTCAGAAAATTTCTGTCCGCGAGCCATGATCACAAGCAGTTCCACCATGCCTGCTGAGCAGAAGAATTGAGGGACACTCGCTAGAGCAGTTCCCGAATCCTCCGCGAGAGGAAGAGCAACGAGCTGAAGGCGCGACATGCACCGATTGAGGGACAATACTTACCAAGGCGATTTTATCCGGAGATTCCTGAAGGCACTCTTTGACAGCCGTGTAAACGGAGCAGTAGGGAATGTCGCATTTCGGGTAAGGCGAATACAGGATTCCGTTTTCGATCAGGGCCTTCATTCTGGTTTCTTCCAAGTTGAAGCAAGACGGCGAGTTTCTGTACCGTATGCCGGTCTCTCGTAACCGGACAAATGTCTGTCTTTAGCATTCCGTATCTGTCGGCATACCGCGACAGACCTGTTATCGGTGCGACGCTTCCTGGAAAAACCTCCAGGTCTTTGATCTCGATAAGCTCGGACCATCGATGCGAAAAACTTAGTGCTCAGGTCAGCTAACGATAGCCAAGAAACTGCTGCAGCTATCGTCACCAAAGAAAGACGCGATTTACTATAAGCTGCTTCACGGTCGACACAAGAAGTGGTGCTTCGTCCAGTGGCGTACCTATAGGGACGATGGCGCCCATGGCAAGCAGCGCGCCCCTGATGGTGATAAAGATGATTTTTTGTAAAATCAGGCGTGTTTATGAAAGTGGACTGTGTGTGTCTCAGTACATCCATTCATTTGTACTGAAGCCAGCTGGAAAGATACAGAACAAAATAAGCTTCTGTTTAACCAACTCCGAATCTTCGCCTGGCAACCATAATTTGTGGCAATGAAAAAAAAAAACTATGTAAAAAGTGCATTGCTACTAGACAACTTTAAACCACACAGAAAGTGAAAATAAAGTGGGCATGTTAACAGTTTGATAAATCGCGAAACCCTTGAGCTGTAGTTATTGACGCAATGTCAGCAGAAAAGTGCTGTTTATAGTTCCGTCAGTTGGTTTATTACAGTTTACTAATCATAAAATAAATATAAAACGTAAATTAATACATCATGGCACTGCATGAAAACCACAATATAACTTTTCTTGCTCTCGCTGGAGCGATTGGCTTAGAATGTCATCAAAGTCAATTTGCTTAGTTTCTTCCCTTTCTACGCTCAACCGACCGAGATCACAGTCTGCACTTGGCTCCTGGCCCATGGAAGCTTGCTGGAGTTTTCGGCACGGAAAGAGCGCTCTGCATTAGCAGCTCGGGCACAAAGCTAGAACTGCCCAAGTAACTGATTGTTTTTAGAGACACTTTGAGCTTGGTTAATCTCCGAGTAAATTGGGCAAGGGGAACGACAGTGTACTTGCTCTTTTTTGTTAAATTAAAAATGCGACCAGGTTGGCGGCGTGGTGTCATTTTAATTATTGTTATCACATCAGGTCAGGGCCCAAAGTAGTCATATGAACAAATCAACTCTAAAAGTATCACTGGCAAAACTGATTTTACAAAAAGCGTAGAGCACGAGGTCTCTCACTTTGAAATCGTTTGACCTCCTCCTCCTCCTCCTCCCCCCCCCCCCGTCAGTCTAAAGTTCGCCCTGGGCCTTCCCAGTGTGGGCTATCTGGCCCTCACGCTCAACTGAGTTTGAGACCACTGCCCTAAAGGGTTAACTCCCAAGCCCTCCTATCTTGAGTCCTACTCAAGTGAAGAGAATCCTCTAGGGTCCCCTCCACTTGAGAGAGCTGTCCCGCTAAATTGGGGCACATTTGCCTTTTTCTTCCAGCACAAAAATAAAAATAAAAACATATCTGTCCAAAATCGAGTTTTGAAGAGGCTAGCGGGACATCACATCCGCGCAGCGTATTCTATGGGCTAACCAAGCAGTTTTGTTTTCACTTTTTATCGTAATTGAAAACGAAACTGAAATCTAAAACGTGCTGTATACATCGAAATATGTGGATAACAGTATGCTGAACTGCGCTTTACCAAGGGTCACAAAAACGCTTGTTCCGACGAACGCGGATAAAAAGTAAATCGAGCGCCAACAACGAGACGACTTCAATCCCAGTGTTTTGATTTTATTACAACACTCCAGACAGAAACCTCCAAAGAGTCATAAAACATGCTTCTTGACATTAGACAAGCAAGGTGTTTTACCATTATTATTTGTCAAAAAGGTCCAAACCGGCACGTCCCGTCAGGATCCAGCTAGCCGCTTGTCATGTTCTTGTAGACAAGTTTCAGCTGCTGCTTCAGAACTTTCCCGTTTACATTTCTCGGGAGCCTGTCGACGATGAAGACCCTCCTAGATACGCTAGTAGTACGGTGTCTTTCCTAAAAAAAAAATTAAGAGAAACGTTTTAATATGGAGAGAAGATCGAGGAATCGCGCTTTCTAGCGGCCACCTCAGGAACTAACGCTGTGTGGCAAACAAACCCTCCAACCGCAGTCATTAGTGCATTCGCTGCCATGGAAGACTACGACGCAAGGCTCGTGAAACATATGTGACACTATTCTTCTCTTCTGCACACATCTATCTAGAAGTAATCTAGTCCTCTCCTGCGATTAATGTCATCGAAGTCCTTTTGGAAGGCAAAAAGAGCACGTGTGGCCACGCGCGGACGTGCCAGGCCAGCCGCATCGTGTCGGCCACTCGCGCTGAATTGTGCTAGGTCGGCCCGGCATTCGTGTTTTTCTGAATGATTCACAAAACACGTACTTCACTTTTCAGTTACCCTGTCTCTTGAGACAATCATGGATGACATCGGCGAAAGCTAGAGGTGTCTCGTAGAAGGAGAGGTGGTGCTCAACCGCGACCATGTAATCGAGTGAAGCGTTGCACCAGAGCCGACGGCGGAGTCGGACAGCGTCCGCATCGTGGCCCACGTGCTGCAGTCCTCCGCGCTGCATATACCCGCTCCAAAAGCATGCTTCGAGGCTCCAGCATTGCGACACACAGTAAGTGGGCACCATATCGCTACAAACACATATACAGCAAGCGCGGAAACGATGCGGCGTACGCTAGGCCAGTGCTGGCGTCGGAGTTGTTTTCCACACAGTGATTTTTGTGGTAATGATGATGATAATGTAACTGCGCCCCTTTAGTTCAATATTCTCGCCAGAGCTTAAAAGTACACTGAACCCAGGGGATTTTTGTTTTACCTAGTTACAACAGGCATATCGAAAATCAATGTTCGTCGAAAAAATTGTTTTGCCCAATATTTATGCTGCAATACGAATTTTTTCGATTTGCGGGCGAAACCAAAATTGTACCCCTGGGGGATGATGATGATAACGTTTGTACCCAACTTGCGTGCGCTCTGGGGTCCTGCGAACTCAGAGCGCACACAAGTTGGGAAGTTGGTTCATACTTACATAAGTGCAAACCGCGCGCAAAAAACAGGGGCAAAGCAGAAGTGCACGCATGACAAGCGCTAACTTTCAACTGAATTTTAATAAAAAAAAAAAAAATCAGTCAGCAACACCGAACACATCGCGGAGTGGTTAATCAACACGTGTCTAAAAGTGCAATATTTTTGCTGTGTAAATTCAGCGACGTCTGGCTGACGTTTCGCACCTTCTAGTTTAATCATGTAGGCTTCTCAAATGTCCCTGGTCATTCGGGCTCTGCCTTTGCCAATAATCTCTGCCTTCTTGAAGATGGATCGACACCTACAGCTAGCATAATGAATGGGTAAGTGCACGCCCACCACTCCCACTTCCAACTGTGACGACAGTTGACCAATATAGGCTTTTTACACGAAACGTGTAATCACGTGCATCTTATTTGCACGTGTAACGTGTATCTCGCCCAATCTGTGGGCAAGACAACTCAACAGTCGAGAACAGCGCGCTACGAGTTTAATGTTGTCAGACTGGTTCCTGGAAATCCTATAGGAGTCAGTGAGCAAAATAAACAGCTAGGTACACGACTATGCCGGCCGGCGAACAGAACTCGTGTCCAGTACACAGTCCAGGAACAAGTTTGTTACAAAATGGATATTTTCAAAAACCTGCATTAGGAATATTTTGGTACAGCAAAAGCACCATTCTCGTCACAAGTAGTGCATCCCTGCGTCCGTGCAACAGTTACTGAAATCGTAGCAACTAAAACAGCAAGGATATATTTTTTTACAAAGAAACCTGCATCGCCGTCTGGCATTATTGCCAGACGGAGTCTTTAAAAAAAAGTAACCACGCGTAGCTAAAACATAGCAACACTACTATCTATAAAAACAACTAGTATAAAAAGGTGTTACCACTAAAACAGCAGGAATACAGCGGCTACAACAACTATGAACAATAGGGCCCAGGCTGAACACACTGCATTTTTCGGCCCTTGCAGGCCTGGATCTTCTCAAGATATATGATGATAAAGTATATTATTATCATTATTATTACAAAACTTTTTTTTTTATCAAGCTCGCATGGAGGATTAAAACGACTATTCTTGAAAACATGTAAAAAAATTGTATCGAACACCATTTTTTTTTTTAATTCATCAAGAATACATACTTTGGCAACCCATTTCACTGTGTAATAGTTCTCGGGAAAGCAATGCAAAAATATAAGTGTAGAATGGGCGGGGTCAGAATTTGTTCCGATGCTTTCCAATCTAAAAAAAAGCAACAATATTCTGCCCCCCCCCCCCCCCCAAAAAAAAAAGCTTTTTTTTTTTTTTTATATAGTAATAGTAATATTTATTCACAGGAAATATATACAAAAACAGTGATCTGGCCCACAAAAGCAGGGGTGTGCTTGTGTGTGGGGCCAGGCAAACGACGGAACGCATCGACATGAGGAAATCGGAATCAAATTGCACAACAGAAAAAAGGCACTTAGAAGTTATGCAGTTAGACATATTACAATTAATTCATTAAAGAATGACACCAGGTTTTAAGTTTGAATTTTATTTTTTTTAACGATGTCATAGCTATTAAAAATTGAGGAAGTCTATTAAATAATGTTGGAATATAATGATTTCTTGTTCTTTTTCCGTAGTGGGTGTATACTTTCGGGACAACATATCTTTCTGTATGTCTTAAGACTCTGGTTTTGGCCACTTTATTCTTAAAAGTCTTATTAAAAAAGTTTTGCGTGATTGTAGCAAAGATATGAAATTTTTCAAAAAATAAAATACCCAGCTTTGCCACCTTTTCCTCCATTTCTAATGTTTCGTACCCAGTTCCATAGGTGATATGGTTCACAATCTGTTTTAATACCCGATCTATCGCAGTCATTTTAGAACGAGAACAATGACCATATACAGTGATACCGTAACGCAACGTCGATTCTACTAGTGATCTGAAAACTAACAATCTTATTCTTAAAGAGCTGACAAATTTTAATTTATACATGTTGGCAGATATTACACGCAAACGTTTTATTATGTAATCTATTTGTTCATTCCACAACATGTGCTCGTCGAAATAGATGCCTAGGTATGTCACTCTAT